ATTTGTGTGTGCCGTGAAAGTTCTTTGTACACTCTCCAGGTCTGCAATGTCACCAGCCTTGAAGGAGGCCATTAGTGTACAGCAGTATTCCAGCCTAGAGAGCACAAGCGATTTGAAGAGATTCATCATGGGCTTGGCATCCCTAGTTTTGAAGGTTCTCAATTTCCATCCTATCATTTTCCTAGCAGATGAGGTAGATACATTGTGGTCTTAGAAGGCGAGATCCACTGACATTATCACTCCCAGGTCTTTCACATTAATTTTTTGCTCTATTGTATTGTTAGAATTTGTTGTATACCCTGATACAGTTTTAATTTCCTCAAGTTTTCCATATCTGAGTAGTTGAAATTTTTCCTCATTGAACCTCATATTGTTTTGAGTGGCCCATTCGGAGATTTGGTTAATGTCCGCTTGGAGTCTCATGGTGTCTTCGATGGAGGTCACTGCCATGGTAATCTGGGTGTCATCGCAAAGGAAGACACGGAGCTATGGCTTACATCTGTCTGTCAGAAACGAGGATGAGAAATAGAATGGGAGCGAGTACTGTGCCTTGTGGAACAGAGCTTTTTACTGTGGCTGCCTGGGACTTTACTCTGCTTACTATTACTCTGTGTTCTATTTGTCAGGAAATTGTAGATCCATCTACCAACTTTTCCCGTTATTTCTTTATCATGCATTTTGTGTGCTATTACACCATGGTCACACTTGTTGAAAGCTTTTGCAAAGTCTGTGTATACTACATTTGTATTTTGTTTATCCTTTACAGCATCCAGGACCTTGCCATAGTGGTCCAGTAGCTGGGACAGGCAGGAGCGACCTGCTCTAAACCCGTGTTACCCTGGGTTGTGTGATTGATGGGTATCTAGGTGGTTGGCGATCTTGCTCCTTAGAACCCTCTGAAAGATTTTTCTGATATGGGATGTTAGTGCTGTCGGTCTGTAGTTCTTTGCAGTTGCTTTACTGCCACCTTTGTGCAGTGGGGCTATGTCTGATGTTTTTAGTGTGTGGGGGATGACCCCGTGTCCATGCTCCCTCTCCATAAAACACTGAAGACACATGATAGGGGCTTCTTGCAATTCTTGATGAATACTGAGTTCCATGAGTCTGGGCCTGGGGCAGAGTGCATGGGCATGTCATTAATTGCCTCTTCAAAGTCTTGTGGAGTTAGAATAATATCCAAGATTTTTGAGATGTATATTCATTATTTGCAGATTTGATAGTTTTCCTGTTTGTACATGTCTAATAAAGTGAGGCTGGTGGTGGTTAGCAGGCAGCCAACCACCTACATGATCTGTGTATCAACGAATTAATTAGGCAAATGATCTTATATACTTGTACAATATCAACTTAGTGCTCATTTAAATCATTAGTTCTCTAAAAGTTTTAAAAAGTTTAGCATATTTTTACGGCTTAACTCAGCACTGTGTTGTTGCTACAGGACACTTTATCCTGGGAGCTGGAACTACTTCACTAATTTCATTCTTGCCTTTCCTTGGATTGAAACTTAATGCTCCTTCTACCTCATGGAAGTTTATTGTCAGCCCTGTAGTGGCCTAGACTGAGCAAATTATGGATATGGATTGTGCATCAAGATTTATTTGGCTTGAATTATTGTCATTCCATTTTGATGATTTCTATAATGTTACAGTAAACTAGTTGGTAATTATATCAAATTACAATGTTGGCATATGAGTAGCAAACTGATAATGTTTTATTCAAACTATCATGATACTCTACCCATTATCTATCATTAGGATCTGATATTCAAGTGCAGTATTTTCAGTCTACTGTATAAAATGAGATTTTGACTACTGTATATAACAGAGAATACAGCCTGAGTGCTTTAAAATTGTCCATTAGTTTAGATGCCTTATTGTTTGTATGCAGGCCTATATTTTTTCCTTGAAATAAAATACTGTATCTGTTACTGGTTCTGGGAATGATCACCTTCACTCCCCAGTATTGCACTAGTCTTCCTAAAATTGAAAAGGAAATATTTTAGGAATAGAAACTATTAACTCTCCATTAATCCCCCTTCCCTGTTTCTTAATTCCAAGAATATTATGAATCTACTAAACTACAGATGGCAACACTACTGCCTTTCCACAGAGTGAGCACTTGTATTAGCCCAGCTATTTAAATTGCATATTCAATATTTATAAATTAATGATAAAGATACTTTTTTATGTTTTAGGTATTGCATTACCCAGTGGCATGAATTATTAACCCTTTCAGGGTCCATCCCGTAGAACTCCGGCTTTACGTTCAGGGTCCAAACCGTAGATCTATGCCATGAGCTCAGCTCACTCTGATAAACTGTGAGTGGTAAATTTGGGCCTAGATATGAGAGAATGCATTTATGTGGTACACAGCGACCTTGCAGTGTTTTTTCGTATGTTTTTTATAGTTGTATTTGCGATTTTTTGGTCTCATTTGATAGAATGGAAGACATACTACAGAAATAGAGATGATTTTGATTGGTTTTAGTACCGGAAATGGCTTGAAACTGAGCTCAAAGTAGCGGAAATATTAAATTTTTGCCGATGTTCTAGAGTAAACAAACGACCTCACACGTCTAATACATGCCAGCTGGTGGGTCTAATATACATTCACAAATGTGGTGATGATATTTATACAATTATTACAATATTGCATAACAGTAAGTCTTCCATTTTTTGGTGAATAAAAATTCATTGTGAATAAAAAATCAAAATGGAATTTATTTGTAAAGCCTCAAAATGTAACTAATGAACAGAAGAAATGCTAGTTTAGTGCCAGGAATGCCTACATTGTTTATTCTGGGCCCTGTTTTGAAATTGGAATATTTTGAACTTTGTGTTAAATTGGCCAAATTACCAATTTCCGATCACTTTATTTTGTAGTTGAAACAGTTGACTTGGCGATTTCTTGTGCTCAATCGGTTGAATAGAAGTAATACTAGTGAAATAGCTAAGAATTTGGTTGACTGGAATAATGTAATTGGCCTAAAATGGGAGTCAGTCGGCAAAATCGCCGATTCGTAAATATCACTGACACATCAAAATTCGTGAGAGCATAATTTCGTCAATTTTCCATCAAATTTCGTACTTTTTATTTTATTACCTTCACAAAAAGATTCTCTACCATTTCATAAGAAAAAATAATAATTTTTTTTTTTTTTAAATTCTTGGACACTGGGGGCACCACTTCAGATTTTGGCCATGGACCCTGAAAGGGTTAAAAATGTTCATGTTATTAATGAAGAAATAGGGATACAGTATTTCTGTACTGAATAAGTAGAAAGTTGTTACTCAGTATATAGTAGTTTCAATCTTCTTGCATATTCACAAACTCCTACAAATTGGTAGTACTGGGTAATCTAAATTCTCCAGTTACAGCTGTTCAATATTTTTTGTTAAAATCTGCCGTGACTAATTAAAAAAAAAATTCTTGTGAAAGGAAAATATGAGAGATTATCCAACTTCTTGTATTTCATATAATGTAGAAATAATAATGCAGTACAATAATTTACAAGTTTAGTGTTTTGGGGAATAAGAGTACCTAATGTAGCCAAAACAAGTGACATTTTAAGGTGTTATTGTTGATGTGGCTCCCATGTCTGCACATCACAGCCCCATCCTGTCTGAGCCTTGTTTTGTTTTCATTAGCAAACATGTCAACTCTCCACATCCACCAATGCAGCTCTCTCTCCATAAATTTTTGGATTACAGTAGTGTTCCATTGTCAGTAATATATATTCCTTCATATGTGTCATCCCTGTGGGTTCCTGTCCGTCACACTAGCATCACGTGACTCCCATTCGAACACTGCTCGACTGGCCATAGGCCAAGCAGTCTTAATCAGGCAGGCATGTATGGCAGATGTACACTAAGGCAGGGCTCTCTTATCGTTGATCATAGCTTGTAAGTGAGAAAGGAGTTTCTGCTCCTTAGAGGAGGGTCATGATGGAATAAGATAGAAAAGAGGAGTTAATAGGCATGAAGACTAAGGGTGAGTTCAGTCACTGTTGGTAGACAACATGATGTAAAGGAATACCCATAGCCAGCACCTCAGTTATTTTCTGTATTTACCTTGTCACAGGGTTCTTGTTTCCTTCAATATTAGTATTTCTTGGAAAAGGAGAGCTATAAGGTATACAATAGTTGATTTTTTTATCTTGTTTTGGATTTTTTAAACAGTTTTATTTCATCTGAATGAAGTAGTATTTTATCATGGGATTCTGTTCTACATGTAAGGTGTCTAGAATCACAATGTGTGTAATAGCTGCTGATGCAGGTGATGTGAACCATAGTCATTTTAAGGGTAACTTTGAAATGTGACCAGTCTTGCCTCTCTATGACTTAACAATGGTTAATGTCTGTTTGGCAGCCAAGGTTGAGGAATAATAAAGCAATGATTCCTCTAAAAGGGAAGAGGAGGGAGGGGAGACAGTGCCTTGATGCTGGTAAAGGTCTCTTAGTCTGAGGGATTAGAGCTGCTGCTCTCCTTTCCTGGATCAAACTTGAATACCTCCTATTTCTCCCAGTACTGTATGACATGTACTACTATTGTGGAAATATAATAGTGAAGTAATGGTGTTTTGCTGTTTTATCTTGTGGAAGATCATTTGTTTGGCAAAGATTCCCGCATTTTGAAAATCTCCATGTGCAATCATTTAAATGTTTGGAATTTATGGTAACGTCTTCATGTACCGTATTTCGGATTGAAAACATCATTTTTTTTTTTATGAATAAATACTGTACTATGAACACAGAGTGCTTCCAAACTCGATGCAATTGAAAACACACTGTGTTCATAGTCATAAGCTGGAAAGGATTTGGTACTCTCGTCTTGGCTGCATTGGATCAGTACAGTATTTTTGGTTCCACTGCAAAGCTAAGAGAAAAACCTTCATAAGGAAAATTTTCGATACCTTATGCAGGCTTTTCATGGTGGTTTGCTGGTGCCATATTTGACATCGTTTTCTACGTACAATATTAACCATGTTGATATCATATTAGGGAATAGAAGAGAAAGATCTTCGGCAGGAATGACCCACGATGCATCTGCAGCAAGTCATGACAACAAAAGATTCAAGGAAGATGGAAGTCATTTCAGTACAAGAAACTGGCACAATAATGATGATGTGTACGGTCCCAGGCAACTGAATAATTGGAATGACGTTGTGGAAGAAGATCAGGGAGACATATCTTGGTTTATTGAGGAAAACAAGAGATTGGGTAAGGAAAATATTTGTATTGTATGTAGCATACATTTGACAAATGCACTCAGTGCTCATTTAGGCATCCTAACAAATTTCCTCAATTTTCTGTAAAGTTAAAGACTGATTACAATTTAAAGAATTAAATTTAAGCATTTAAAGTAAATACTTTAATTTCAAATACTCTTCTTATAATAGTTTTATAAAATGTCTTATACTCTATAAGCAACACTTGGAACATGTGTTGTGTTGTGTTTTGTGTTGTGTGCGAACACACTTCAGAAATAGCAAGGTGAGGAGACTAAGATGAAGTCTACAAAATGAAAGATTGACCATAGACTTGAGGGAGGTGCTATGAAGAAAGTGAATGTATTAAGATACTTTGTACTAGATGGGTCTGTTAATACATGTTGAATCATACAACCGATTAGGAAAGAAAGTAGCTGGAGTGTTGAGGCATCTGTGGAAAGAAAAAGTTAGAGTGTCTGATAAAGAAAAAAGGAGTACATCATTGATGCCAACACTTATGTATGGATGACATGGTTAGTATATGCTGCAGCAGAGAGGAGAGAGTAGGTAGTGGAGATATTGATCAGACAAGTATGGTGTAAATATGTAGACTAATGAGTACAGAAAATAAAAGATTGTGTTGTAGTAGTATGAAGGGTCTAATTCGGAGATGGAGGAGGGGTCTTTAATACGTTTAGCTGTTTACAAAAGAGGGAACAGGATAAGTTGACCATTAAGGTGTATAAATCTGTAATTACCTATTTGAATTGGAAGGTATAAAGGAGGCATTGAGAGGTAGTGGCTTGAACATCCAGCATGCATATAAGAGTGTATTAAATCAGAGTTACTGGAGAAAATGGTTTTTGGGATTTGGCATGCTTCTGTTGAAGTGTAGGTGGGGATGAAGGAAACTAGTTAATCAGACTTCAGTTCTGGACAGGGGAAAAAACATTACTCTGAATGATAAATGGGAATGTGTTTAGGTGGATCATTTTCATTGTGATGGCTAAGCTGTTCCAGAGAGCCGCCTAGATTGTGTGATGGTGAATGTGATTTTCTTCTTTTGGTCACCCTGCTTTGGTGGGAAATGGAAGGTGTTAAAATACTGGTTAATTTTTGTTTTTTGTTATGTTTGAGGTACATAAAAAAAGTAACTGAAATGTACGAGTTAGTGACTTGCTTTATTAAAAAAAATTAGGAAGTTCTTTATTAATTGAGCACTACTTGTATTTGTAATTGTATATTTATTTATTCTTACATGTATTAGTTTGATATCCATTTGTATATTTGTGTATACATACTGTAAATTTATTTCCCTAGCGGAGCAATATGGTACATTTGTGCAAGTAAAACCTGTTAAGGATCATCCTGAAAGAGTGGAATACTACTGTGAGGTAAGGCAGCTCTTAAAGTAAGTACAACACAGATTTACCCTCGCTTGTGTGCAAAATGAGAATCCTACTATGTCTGGATCTTACTGCATTTTGATCTTATTGTATTGTGAAAATTAAAAATTACATAGAGTAGTGAGGACCAACCTGCCACCTTTGTAATTCCTGGAATTAATGTACATATACTGATAAGTGGGGAGCTTCATCTATTACTCAGCCCACCTTTATATTTAGTTCTTATGCTGGGCTCTCTAGATGATATAAAAATCCAAATAAAAATTGTATACATTTATATTCATAATTGTTCTTTTGGCCAGACTTTTGCTGGTTTCCTGGTCTACCAGGCTGTTGCTGCTAGCAGCCTGTAGGTTTGTATAACCATCACAACCCAACTGATAACATATTTTTGAACAGGTAATGGTCCAGTTTCCTCTGAAAACTTCTACCTTTATGCAGCCAATATTTCTGATGGAACATTGGAAAGTTGCAGACCACAAATGTCAATATGGTTTTCTTTAATTGTGCCTATGGCATGTGGAAAAATTAGATGGAACCTTGCTGTGACTGCCGGAATACTGAGAACTGTTTATGTATCAAGAACACTTAATTTTGAACATGGTTTGCTTATATGAGCTGAGATGTTCCCTCAGTACAAGTGTATATCATATGGGGTCTAATTAGGACCCACTGTGATTTATGTGGAGATATGTATGTATTATGTATTGTGCTGATGATACTGTGCTTATGGGAAATTCTAAAGAAAAGTTGCAAAGGTTAATGGACGAGTTTGGGAGGGTGTGTAAAGGTAGAGAGTTGAAAGTGAACATAGATATGAGTAAGGTGATGAAGGTATCAAATGATTTAGATAAAGAAAAATTAGATATCACATTGGAGAGAGGGAGTATGGAAGAAGTGGATGTTTTTCAGATATTTGGGAGTTGACGTGTCAGCGGATGGGTTTATGAAGGATGACGTTAACCACAGAATTGATGAAGGAAAAAAAGGTGAGTGGTGTGTTGAGGTATATGTGGAGACAAAAAATGTTATCTATGGAGGCAAAGAAAGGAATGTATGAAAGTATAGTGGTACCAACACTATACTTGAAGCTTGGGTTGTAAATGCTGCAGAGAGGAGGCAGTTGGAAGCAATGGAGATGTCCTGTCTAAGTGCAATGTGTGGTGTAAATATGTAGAGAATTCAGAGTGTGGAAATTAGGAGAAGGTGTGGAGTTAATAAAAGTATGTATTAGTCAGAGGGGTTGTTGAGGTGGTTTGGTTATTTTGGGAGAATGGTTCAAAGTAGAATGACATGGAGAGTGTATAAATCTGTAGGGGAAGGAAGGCGGGGTAGGGGTCGTCCTCGGAAAGGTTGGAGAGAGGGGGTAAAGGAGGTTTTGTGGGCGAGGGGCTTGGACTTCCAGCAAGCGTGCATGAGCGTGTTAGATGGGAGTGAAGGGTGATGAATGGTTTTTGGGACCTGACGAGCTGTTGGAGTGTGAGCTTGCCAAAAGGAATAAAATAACATGAGCATGTTCATAGATGCTTCTGAGAACCTATTTTGTCAAAAAAAAAAAAAATTAAATGGTAGCATGAATGTAAATTGCTAATTTTAACTAAAAATCTGATTTGGATTTTTTTCCAAATAAGAAAAAATTTATTGAAATATCTCTGCTTCAAAAATCAGATGGAGGTATGTTTTCACTGAGAGGCAGTCAGTTTCTGTTGAGAAATGTTCTTGAACATTAAAATGGTATAAAATACCGACAGGTTGTTAGGTAAGACACATATGCAACAGTTAGGTATCTTTATTATGAAATGTTTCGCCTACACAGTAGGCTTCTTCAGTCAACTTTTCTGTACTTGACTGAAGAAGCCTACTGTGTAGGCGAAACGTTTCATAATAAAGATACCTAACTGTTGCATATGTGTCTTACCTAAGAAATGTTCTTGTAACTTGAGCTACCCCAAGCATGTGTATTTCCAAATGAAAGATATTACTGTAGTAATTGTAAAGCAGAATTATTGAATTGAGAAATAAAATATATTGCTTTAATGTGGTTAGAAAAAAAAAATCTCAAGTGCGTTGATCATAGCCCCTAGTGGTGCCTGTTGGTCACACATTCTCCTAGTGGTGCCTGTTGGTCACACATTCTCCTAGTGGTGCCTGTTGGTCACACATTCTCCTAGTGGTGCCTGTTGGTCACACATTCTCCTAGTGGTGCCTGTTGGTCACACATTCTCCTAGTGGTGCCTGTTGGTCACACATTCTCCTAGTGGTGCCTGTTGGTCACACATTCTCCTAGTGGTGTCTGTTGGTCACACATTCTCCTAGTGGTGCCTGTTGGTCACACATTCTCCTAGTGGTGCCTGTTGGTCACACATTCTCCTAGTGGTGCCTGTTGGTCACACATTCTTCTAGTGGGGCCTGTTGGTCACACATTCTCCTAGTGGTGCCTGTTGGTCACACATTCTCCTAGTGGTGCCTGTTGGTCACACATTCTCCTAGTGGTGCCTGTTGGTCACACATTTCCTAGTGGTGCCTGTTGGTCACACATTCTCCTAGTGGTGCCTGTTGGTCACACATTCTCCTAGTGGTGCCTGTTGTCACACATTCTCCTAGTGGTGCCTGTTGGTCACACATTCTCCTAGTGGTGCCTGTTGGTCACACATTCTCCTAGTGGTGCCTGTTGGTCACACATTCTCCTAGTGGTGCCTGTTGGTCACACATTCTCCTAGTGGTGCCTGTTGGTCACACATTCTCCTAGTGGTGCCTGTTGGTCACACATTCTCCTAGTGGTGCCTGTTGGTCACACATTCTCCTAGTGGTGCCTGTTGGTCACACATTCTCCTAGTGGTGCCTGTTGGTCACACATTCTCCTAGTGGTGCCTGTTGGTTCACACATTCTCCTAGTGGTGCCTGTTGGTCACACATTCCCTAGTGGTGCCTGTTGGTCACACATTCTCCTAGTGGTGCCTGTTGGTCACACATTCTCCTAGTGGTGCCTGTTGGTCACACATTCTCCTAGTGGTGCCTGTTGGTCACACATTCTCCTAGTGGTGCCTGTTGGTCACACATTCTCCTAGTGGTGCCTGTTGGTCACACATTCTCCTAGTGGTGCCTGTTGGTCACACATTCTCCTAGTGGTGCCTGTTGGTCACACATTCTCCTAGTGGTGCCTGTTGGTCACACATTCTCCTAGTGGTGCCTGTTGGTCACACATTCTCCTAGTGGTGCCTGTTGGTCACACATTCTCCTAGTGGTGCCTGTTGGTCACACATTCTCCTAGTGGTGCCTGTTGGTCACACATTCTCCTAGTGGTGCCTGTTGGTCACACATTCTCCTAGTGGTGCCTGTTGGTCACACATTCTCCTAGTGGTGCCTGTTGGTCACACATTCTCCTAGTGGTGCCTGTTGGTCACACATTCTCCTAGTGGTGCCTGTTGGTCACACATTCTCCTAGTGGTGCCTGTTGGTCACACATTCTCCTAGTGGTGCCTGTTGGTCACACATTCTCCTAGTGGTGCCTGTTGGTCACACATTCTCCTAGTGGTGCCTGTTGGTCACACATTCTCCTAGTGGTGCCTGTTGGTCACACATTCTCCTAGTGGTGCCTGTTGGTCACACATTCTCCTAGTGGTGCCTGTTGGTCACACATTCTCCTAGTGGTGCCTGTTGGTCACACATTCTCCTAGTGGTGCCTGTTGGTCACACATTCTCCTAGTGGTGCCTGTTGGTCACACAATTCTCCTAGTGGTGCCTGTTGGTCACACATTCTCCTAGTGGTGCCTGTTGGTCACACATTCCCCTAGTGGTGCCTGTTGGTCACACATTCCCCTAGTGGTGCCTGTTGGTCACACATTCCCCTAGTGGTGCCTGTTGGTCACACATTCTCCTAGTGGTGCCTGTTGGTCACACATTCTCCTAGTGGTGCCTGTTGGTCACACATTCTCCTAGTGGTGCCTGTTGGTCACACATTCTCCTAGTGGTGCCTGTTGGTCACACATTCTCCTAGTGGTGCCTGTTGGTCACACATTCTCCTAGTGGTGCCTGTTGGTCACACATTCCCCTAGTGGTGCCTGTTGGTCACAACATTCCCCTAGTGGTGCCTGTTGGTCACACATTCCCCTAGTGGTGCCTGTTGGTCACACATCCCCTAGTGGTGCCTGTTGGTCACACATTCCCCTAGTGGTGCCTGTTGGTCACACATTCTCCTAGTGGTGCCTGTTGGTCACACATTCTCCTAGTGGTGCCTGTTGGTCACACATTCTCCTAGTGGTGCCTGTTGGTCACACATTCTCCTAGTGGTGCCTGTTGGTCACACATTCTCCTAGTGGTGCCTGTTGGTCACACATTCTCCTAGTGGTGCATGTTGGTCACACAATTCTCCTAGTGGTGCCTGTTGGTCACACATTCTCCTAGTGGTGCCTGTTGGTCACACATTCTCCTAGTGGTGCCTGTTGGTCACACATTCTCCTAGTGGTGCCTGTTGGTCACACATTCTCCTAGTGGTGCCTGTTGGTCACACATTCTCCTAGTGGTGCCTGTTGGTCACACATTCTCCTAGTGGTGCCTGTTGGTCACACATTCTCCTAGTGGTGCCTGTTGGTCACACATTCTCCTAGTGGTGCCTGTTGGTCACACATTCTCATAGTGGTGCCTGTTGGTCACACATTCTCCTAGTGGTGCCTGTGGTCACACATTCTCCTAGTGGTGCCTGTTGGTCACACATTCTCTAGTGGTGCCTGTTGGTCACCATCATTCTCCTAGTGGTGCCTGTTGGTCACACATTCTCCTAGTGGTGCCTGTTGGTCACACATTCCTCTAGTGGTGCCTGTTTGGTCACACATTCTCCTAGTGGTGCCTGTTGGTCACACATTCTCCTAGTGGTGCCTGTTGGTCACACATTCTCCTAGTGGTGCCTGTTGGTCACACATTCTCCTAGTGGTGCCTGTTGGTCACACATTCCTAGTGGTGCCTGTTGGTCACACATTCTCCTAGTGGTGCCTGTTGGTCACACATTCTCCTAGTGGTGCTGTTGGTACACATTCTCCTAGTGGTGCCTGTTGGTCACACATTCTCCTAGTGGTGCCTGTTGGTCACACATTCTCCTAGTGGTGCCTGTTGGTCACACATTCTCCTAGTGGTGCCTGTTGGTCACACATTCTCCTAGTGGTGCCTGTTGGTCACACATTCTCCTAGTGGTGCCTGTTGGTCACACATTCTCCTTAGTGGTGCCTGTTGGTCACACATTCTCCTAGTGGTGCCTGTTGGTCACACATTCTCCTAGTGGTGCCTGTTGGTCACACATTCTCCTAGTGGTGCCTGTTGGTCACACATTCTCCTAGTGGTGCCTGTTGGTCATGCATTCTCCTAGTGGTGCCTGTTGGTCACGCATTCTCCTAGTGGTGCCTGTTGGTCACGCATTCCCCTAGTGGTGCCTGTTGGTCACGCATTCTCCTAGTGGTGCCTGTTGGTCACGCATTCTCCTAGTGGTGCCTGTTGGTCACGCATTCCCCTAGTGGTGCCTGCTGGTCACGCATTCCCCTAGTGGTGCCTGCTGGTCACGCATTCCCCTAGTGGTGCCTGTTGGTCACGCATTCCCCTAGTGGTGCCTGTTGGTCACGCATTCCCCTAGTGGTGCCTGTTGGTTACATCCCCTAGTGGTGCCTGTTGGTCACACAACCCCTAGTGGTGCCTGTTGGTCACACATTCCCCCTAGTGGTGCCTGTTGGTCACACATTCCCCTAGTGGTGCCTGTTGGTCACACATTCCCCTAGTGGTGCCTGTTGGTCACACATTCCCCTAGTGGTGCCTGTTGGTGTCACATTTCCCTAGTGGTGCCTGTTGGTCACACATTCCCCTAGTGGTGCCTGTTGGTCACACATTCCCCTAGTGGTGCCTGTTGGTCACACATTCCCCTAGTGGTGCCTGTTGGTCACACATTCCCCTAGTGGTGCCTGTTGGTCACATTCCCCTAGTGGTGCCTGTTGGTCACATATTCCCCTAGTGGTGCCTGTTGGTCACACAGCCCCTAGTGGCATCTGGTCACACAGCCCCTAGTGGCACCTGTTGGTCACACAGCCCCTAGTGGCACCTGTTGGTCACACAGCCCCTAGTGGCACCTGTTTGGTCACGCCAGCCCCTAGTGGCACCTGTTGGTCACGCAGCCCCTAGTGGCACCTGTTGGGGCACGCAGCCCCTAGTGGCACCTGTTGGTCACGCAGCCCCTAGTGGCACCTGTTGGTCACGCAGCCCCTAGTGGCACCTGTTGGTCACGCAGCCCCTAGTGGCACCTGTTGGTCACGCACCCCCTAGTGGCACCTGTTGGTCACACAGCCCCTAGTGGCACCTGTTGGTCACACAGCCCCTAGTGGCACCTGTTGGTCACACAGCCCCTAGTGGCACCTGTTGGTCACACAGCCCCTAGTGGCACCTGTTGGTCACAGCCCTAGTGGCACCTGTTGGTCACAAAAGCCCCTAGTGGCACCTGTTGGTCACACAGCCCCTAGTGGCACCTGTTGGTCACACAGCCCCTAGTGGCACCTGTTGGTCACACACCCCCTAGTGGCACCTGTTGGTCACACAGCCCCTAGTGGCACCTGTTGGTCACAGCCCCTAGTGGCACCTGTTGGTCACAGCCCCTAGTGGCACCTGTTGGTCACAGCCCCTAGTGGTGCCTTTTGGTCACATCACTTAGCATTGCCTTTTGAGATGAACAAGTTTATAGTTTTATTGTTGTTGTAATTTTGTGTGTCAAATATTGTCATGACTCACTTGGTTCATCTTGCTCCTGTCTCTGATAGTCAAGTCTTGTTTCAACTAGAGATGAATTTTGAGCATGCATATCACAAATATTTGGCAACTAATATTGCATTCTTGTTAAAAAAATTTTCAGAATTGTTTTTGAAATACTACACACTTTTAACAAATTATATTTGTTGTTCAGACTGTTACTGATAATAAAAATGTTTCCTCATAATTTTCAGCTTTGTTTTGCAATGATGAATGCGAAGAAATCTCTGGACATTCACTGCAGTGGCATGAAGCATTTAAAGGTAACAATGTACACATTTAGTGCGTTTTACAAAAAAATATATGCAGCTGATAGAAGTACAAATGTTAAAGGAGTTTTTACCTATTTATATTACAGAAATTCTTTTAGAACAGGATACAAATCTTGGTTAGTATGCATTGTAGATAGAAATTTAAATTATTTGTATTGCTACATAATTTAACATAGCATTTAAATGCAGCCCATTATTAGATATGTACCGTAATATATAATACACACAATATTCAATTAATTTTTTTAATACACTAGCCATATCTCACCGTGGTAGGGTGACCTAAAAAGTAAAACTAAAGTTTTTGCTTTTTAAATTTAGTAATTCATACAGAAGGGGTTACTAGCCCTTTGCTCCTGGGGTTTTAGTTGTCTCGTCATTTTTCTTACAATATTGAAATAGTTGTTTAATATAGTGGTTTTTCTGTACATACGTGCCAATATTTAATGTCACATGTTTTGAGTCTGCATTCTGAAGCAGAACATTTTCATAACATTAGATAATATACAGAAACAAGACAGTTTGTATTGCATGTAAATCACATACAGTAGTTACAGGTTAATGTATTCATTTTTTCAGGTGTTAATAAATTCTTTATTTAGTTGGACTCTGTAACGCGTATAACCAACCAGACTTTGTATGACCAGTCAAACTGTCCTCCACGCACTGACTTTTTCACTTCATACACTTTATCTCTTAGTTTAACCAGTGGAAAACCGAGCTTAGTTTCTCGCTGATTAAACCTGGTTTAGTCTTGTATTTAGTTTTGATCTTGGTGAAAATATGTTGTCAAATGTTGTTATATCCATGAGTATATAATGTTCAGTTACTACTGTAGCTACGTTGATATTCCGTTGAACCCAGTGTATGCAAGATGTTGCGAGTATTGAAGGTAAACTAACATTTTAACTTTGGTAATGAAACGCTTTAAAATACCCATTTATTCATGTATAAAATAGTAAACAAACTGAGGGGAAAAAATTATTATAACATGTACACTAACAAATGTTTTAATTTTTTTTTTCGAAAGTCTAGGTGTTGAGTCAGTGTGCAATGCCATGTATGAAGATACCAAGTGGAAGTTCTTGCATTGTTATTATACATAGCATAATGTGTGTATTTGTCAATGCGGGGAGTGTATTCTCTTAATGCAAATGGAATGTGTAACAGATTTTTCCGGGATTGGTTAAAGAAATTGAGTAAGCTTATTGGAAAAGCTATTTTTGGCTAATGTCATACACCTTTTGTGTTATTAGTTAGTGTCAGACACCTGTGTTGTTACTGATTGAGATGCGCTCATATATGAGAAACGTGCAGTGAAGTGATTATGTAGTTATTTCGTATTATTTTTTTTAGCACGGCCGTTTCCCACCAAGGTAGGGTGGCCCAAAAAAAGAAAAACTTATCATTCACTCCATCACTGTCTTGCCAGAGACGTGTTTACGCTACAGTTATAAAACTTCAACATTAACACGTATATCACGTTATTTCACATATCACTCTTAATTTCATTATCATAGCCCCTATGTTGGCATCTAGTCCATTTAGTCATGGAACTGAAACACATTACTACCTAGGTAAGATACATTAGTGTAGTTAACATCTATTATGTGGTTCGCCTCATCTTTCGTAAACCCATCTGCTGACATGTTTGCTCCCAAATATTTAAATACATCCACTTCATACTTTCTTCACTCTAATATTCAATCTGTTTTTGCCTAGACTTACTTTGTACTCTCGCCCTTGTTACCTTGCTTTTCTCTACATTCATACATCCACTGTGGTAGTGACTTGGAAAAGAAACATTTTCACCATCATTCATTAACCCGTAAACGGTCCAAACGTATATATACGTTTTTTCAACATTTGAAAGTATGTAAAAAAAGTAGATCTTCTTTTTGTTTTTTTACAATTGAAAATGTATAAAAACTTTGATCTACTTTTTTTTTTGTTATATTTGAAAATATGTAAAAAAAAACGTAGGTTTACTTTTGTAGCACTACACGTGAACGTAGATCTGCTTGGACCGTTTACGGGTTAAATCACTGTCTTGCCAGAAGCATGCCGATATCACGGTTCAGATGACCCTGCAAAGTATAGCATCCTCATCCTTCTTGAGAGTGAAGGCATGTACCTCTCACTTCCAAGACTCGAGTCTGACTAACTGGTTTCCCTTGTTACCTTGCTCATGCTCCAACAGAACGTCAGATCATAAAGACCACTTGCCTCTATCCACTCTTCTTCACACCCAAACTTCATCCACCAATCTTTGCAACTTGTCTTCAGAATCCCCCAAAACAACTGCTATTAGCAAAGGGGAACTGTGATAACTTACACTTCGTATCATATCCAGCATATTTTAATTCCACACCTCTTCCCATTTATAAATATGTTAAACAGTAATAATTTATTAATTGTATATTTTTCTTTCAGAAAACAAAAATGTGGGAGCAGCTTAAGGGTGAGTAATACAGTATTTAAATTGTGACAGTTGCCTTTCATATGTATAATTTTGTATTAGTGTTTTATTAGTTTTAATCATTCCTTAAACAATGTACACACAAAAAAACGTAAATATAAATGCTCTGTAAACTGTATATATGGTGACCTCCATATTTTTAATAATTTATACAGTACTTGTAATAACATCTTAGTGGAATTATAGACTGCAATACCTTCCTTTGTAAGTCTGTAAGTGTGTATCTGGTTAGTTTAGGTTATTTAATGATACCAAAAGAGCATTTATCGTTGCACAGTGGTACATCGAGTCACGAACATAATTCGTTCCAGAAAGCAGTTCAAGTACTGATACCAAACTAATTTGTTCCCATAAGGAATAATGTAAATTAGATTAGTCCATTTCAGACCCCCAAAAATACACTTACTAAAGCACTTACAAAAATCTTCTTTTTTCAACACACCGGCTGTATCCCACTGAGGCGGGGTGGCCCAAAAGGAAAAATTAAAGCTTCTCCTTTTACATTTAGTAATATATACAGGAGAAGGGGTTACTAGCCCCTTGCTCCTGGCATTCTAGTCGCCTCTTACAACACGCATGGCTTATGGAGGAAGAATTCTTTTCCACTTCCCCATGGAGGTAAGAAAAAATAAACAAGAACAAGAACTAGTAAGAAAATTGAAGAAAACCCAGAGGGGTGTGTGTATATATATGCTCGTACATGTATGTGTAGTGTGACCTAAGTGTAAGTAGAAGTAGCAAGACATACCTGAAACCTTGCATGTTTATGAGACAGAAAAATGGACACCAGCAATCCTACCATCATGTAAAACAATTACAGGCTTTTGTTTTACACTCACTTGGCAGGACGGTAGTACCTCCCTGGGGCAGTTGATGTCTACCAACCTACTACCTAGACTTAGAATAATACACTTACTTAATTGTTAGAGTTGGGAGCTGTTCGAAACTTGAGGTACCACTGTATTTGCTCACATTTGTTGGGAGCTGTTCGAAACTTGAGGTACCACTGTATTTGCCCACATCTGGCAGGTCCTCTCATCCATCTGCTTTGTCCCTTCCATTGCAGGCTTTCCCATTTTATAAGTGTTATACAAATACAGATAGTCTGTATGTATTTATAAAATGCTTTAAGCAACTTTTATGCCTGTAGAACAGGATTTTTCAAGTTGGTAGCACATACCTTGAGAAAGGAGCTCATATAGGAAGAAACAAGGAAAGATCATGTGGTAGTGATGCAGAGTAGTTTGAGAGTGATGTAAACTTGGAAAAATAATAGGCTTTGTTCACTAACTGTATTGCCCAAAGTTTAGCCAGTTGGAAACTTTTCTGGTTTTGCACAATGGTGTTGGGTGTTGAAGTAAAGGTAGTTTCTCAGCATTTTTTTTTAATTTGTCACCTTCCCAATAACTAGCTTGACTTCTGACCATTATACTAAATAGTTGAGAGTTCCTGTGTTAAATACAAGCAGTGTTAAAGTTGTCAGTCCTACATTCTTAACTACAGAAGGAAAGTTGCAGAAACTCTTAGTGCATGTAAACCACCAGTAACATTGACACTTGTGTAATTTTTCAATATCAGTACATGTATTGCAGAAAATCTTTCAAAAATACTAAATCATACAAACAACAAAGTTTGTTTTTCTTCCTTGTCCACTCTATGATAACTTGCAAAACAAATGAATACAAACAAAATGAAGAAAGCTGCTGATGTGCATGAAATCCCACGTGTAGGATGTTACAGAATGTAAGCTTGAGAAACTATTCGAGACCAAATAACCTGTTCAAATGAACACAAGTATGCCTCCAGGACTGATAACTTTAACAGATTTCTTGCAACCATTTAATTTAATAGTTGGAATCAAGATAGTTGTTAGAGAATGTGACTAATTTTAAAGAAAATGCAAAATAGCAAAAAAAGGCACAATACCGTGACTGGAACAATACATAACCCGCACATAGAAGAGAGGAGCTCACCACGACATTTTGGTCCGACTTAGACCATTACTACTACTACTACTACTACTACTACTACTACTACTACTACTACCACTACTACCACCACCACCACCTCCTGCCTATATATACCCTTCCTGCTCTCCTTTTTGTTAGTGTGACTTTGTAAATGGTCCAAGTCAGACAGAAACGTCGTAAGCTCCTCTCTTCTATGTGCGGGTTATTTGTGTAAAATGCAAAATCATGGAAGTTTACAATTGGCTAATCCCTTGGTAATAGTGAATAAAGCAACAACAGCTCTGTCACACAACAAATCTGTCCATAGAGGTCTGTACCTCCCGTTCCTTTAAGATTTGTCTAAAATGGGCCACAACATTGTCATTGTAATAGTCACCAGCACAGCTTGCAATAGCTGTGTTAGGGTGATTTTCATCCATAAAGGTTTGCAGAACATTTGCACACATTTCCTTAATTTTTGAAGTAGGCACAATGGATTCCACAACTGGCATAGGCTTCTCAGGGTTAGCCCCAAACCCTTCAAAATCTTTCTTAATTTCCATACTAATTCTCACCCTTTTTACCACAGGGTTGGCACTAGAAGCTTTCTTGGGGCCCATGGTGACTTATTTTGCAGAAACAAGCACCAAAAACACTGTGATAATATGGAATGTACCGAATGTATGCTTAGATGCGAGCACACTGGCTGGCTTGTAAACACTGGTACACACGGGGCAGTTCAGGCCACACGTGGATGTGTCCCGGATGAATCGCCTGTGGCGAGTTTTTTAACGAGTGGCGAGGCAAAATTTTTGTGTTAAAATGCATCGTATACTGGATTTAACGTATACTGATGCCATCGTATGCCGGGGGTCCACTGTATCTGAAAACATTCACTTCTTCCATACTCCTCCTCCCCAATATGATATCCAATTTTTCTTTATCTCATCACCTTACTCTTTTCTATGTTCACTTTCAACTTTCTACCTTTACACACACTCCCAAACTCATCCACTAACCTTTGCAATTTTTCTTTAGAATCTCCCATGATCACAGTATCATCAGCAAAAAGCAACTGTGTCAATTCCCATTTTGTATTTGATCCCGAACTTTACAACCCCATCTATAAATATATTAAGCAACCATGGTGACATTACACATCCCTGTCTAAGACCTACTTTTACTGGGAAGTAGTCTCCCTCTCTTCTACACACCCTAACCTGAGCCTCACTATCCTCATAAAAACTCTTTACAGCATTTAGTAACTTACCACCTATTCCATATACTTGCAACTTCTGCCACATTGCTCCCCTATCCACTCTATCATGTGCCTTTTCTAAATCCATAAATGCAATAAAAACTTCCCTACCTTTATTTAAATACTGTTCACATATATGCCTCAATGTAAACACTTGATCTACACATCCCCTACCCACCCTGAAACCTCCTTGCTCATCCGCAATCGTACATTCTGTCTTACCTCTTAATTCTTTCAATTATAACCCTACTGTACACTTTTCCTGGTTTACTCAGTAAACTTATTCCTCTATAATTTTTAGTCTCTTTTGTCCCCCTTCCTTTTATATAAAGGGACTATACATGCTCTCTGCCAATCCCTAGGTACCTTCCCCTCTTTCATACATTTATTAAACAAAAATACCAACCACTCTAACACTATATCCCCCCCTGCTTTTAGCATTTGTCATGATCCCATCAGTTCCAGCTGCCTTACCCCCTTTCATTCTATGTAATGCCTCATGCACCTTCCCCACATTCACATCCTGCTCTTCTTCACTCCTAAAAGATGGTATACCTCCCTGGCCAGTGCATGAAATTACCACTTCCTTTTCTTCGTCGACATTTAAAAGTTCCTCAAAATATTCTCGCCATCTACCCAAAACCTCCAACTCCCCATCTACTAACTCCCCTACTCTGTTTTTAACTGACAAATCCATTCGTTCTCTAGGCTTTCTTGTTTAACTCCAAAATTTTCTTTAAAATTTCTTGACAGTGCCTCTCCCACTCTATCATCTGCTCTTCTTTTGCACTCTCTTCACCTTTCTTTTACTCTCCATATACTCTGCTCTTCTTATAACACTTCTGCTTTGTAAAAACCCCTCATAAGCTAACTTTTTCTCTTTTATCACACACTTTACTTCATTTTGCTAGTATTATTTCTATTTTATTGATTGAGCACAAGAAATCGCCCAGTCAACTGTTTGAATTACCCAATAAAGTGATCAGAAATTGGTAGTTTGGCTAATTTAACAAAGTTCAAAATATTCCAATTTCAGAATAGGGTCCAGAATAAACAATGCAGGCATTCCTGGCACTAAACTAACATTTTCTCTGTACATTAGTTACATTTTCAGGTTTTACAAATGAATTCCATTTTTATTTTTTATTCACATAATGAATTTTTATTCACACCAAAAAATAGAAGATTTACTGTTGTGCAGTATTCTAATAATTGTATAAATAATATCACCACATTCGTTAACGTATATTAGACCCACCAGCTAACGCGTATTAGATGCGTGACATTTGTTTACTCTTGAACATCGGCAAAAATTGAACATTTCTTCTACACTGAGCTCAGTTTCAAGCCATTTTTGGTAATAAAACCAATAAAAATCATCTCTGTTTCTGTAATATATCTTCCATTCTGTCAAATGAGACCAAGAAATCGTGAATACCACTGTAAAAAAACATACGAAAAAACACCACAGTCAGTTTTAATCCAAAATTCGGGTCGCAGTTTTTTTTTTCTCATTGTGCACTGCGTGCTGCAGGATTTGTTTTATGTGGTGCACACTTACCACATAGATGTATTTTCTCGTATCTAGGCCGAAATTTACCGCTCATAGCTTATCTAAGTGAGCTGAACTCATGGCATAGATCTGTGGCTTGGACCCTGGCTTCAAAGCCGTAGATCTACGGGACAGACCCTGAAAGGGTTAAGGACAATAGTTATAAATGCTCTATTTCTGTTTTATGTGCTTATGCTCCATGCTTGCGACTGTGTAATTGATGGAAAAATTTGGTATTTATTAAATGAAATATGAAAATATTTAAATTTTATACAGATACGTTTTTTTTTTTTTTTAGGAATAGGTAACAGTACTATTAGTAAAGGACAAGCTTCTGATCCTCCTGCCTCACTACCACCTCCAACCAATCATAGATATCAAGCTCAGGGTAGAGAAGACCCTCCTGAACCTCGTAGATATCAGCATATGAGAGAAGCACCTGAGCCTCCAAGATTTCTATCTACTAGAGGAGAGAATCCTGATACTTCAAGATTTCAGTCTGAGCGAGGACAAAATCCTGACTCTCCTGGCTCACGTCCACCTTCAGCTCCATACAGGTATTTAATGTGTTGTTTTCAGCATCAAGTTGAAAGCACAATGGTTCTGTTTCTTGACTATTAAAAGTATTGTAGTAACTTTTATATATGAGGCTGGTAAAGCTTTGGTCCTGGATTCGAATCTCTACTATGGGGTTATTACTGTGTATTAATTTAAGCTAGTTTTAACCCTTTCAGGGTCGAGAGGCCCTCTCCTAAACTTCTCAGGGTCAAAAATTTTTTGGAAAAAAAAATTATTTTTTTCTTATGAAATGATAGAGAATCTTTTCCCGATCATATTGACACCAAAAGTATGAAATTTGATGGAAAACTTATGGAATTATGCTCTCGCGAAATTAGCGGTCTCGACGATGTTTATGCATCAGCGATTCTGCCCACTTTGAGCCCTATTTTTTACCAATTCCTGTGTACTAGTCGACAAAAATCATATTTATTTTGCTAGAACTCCATTTTTTCTATCGAATGAGTACAAGAAACCACCCGTTTACCAATTTTAACTAACCAATAAAGTGGTTAGAAATTGGCAATTTTGCCAATTTCACACAAATTTCAGATGCCAATTTCCAAATAGGGTCCAAAATAAACAAGAAAGACATTCCTGGCACTAAAATAACAAGTTCTCTGTTCGTTAGTCACGTCCCCAGGCCCCTCTTATATTTCTTTTGCTTTCCACTTTGAATTTTTATTCTTACAAAAAACAGAAAATTTACTGTTATGCAGACTACTGCATTAGTGTAGAAATGGTATAAATAATATCAGCGCACTTATGAAAGAATATTAGACTCACCAGTTGACGTATATTGGACGCTTGGCATGATTTGTTTACTTTTGAACTTTGGTAAAAATCGAACATTTCTGCTACTTTGAGCTCAATTTCAAGGTACTTTTCATTGTGAAACCAGTCAAAATCATCTCGATTTCTGTAATATGTCTTCCATTCTATAAAATGAGACCAGGAAAACTAGAATACAACCATAAATACCATACGAAAATACAGTGCAAAATCTGTTTTAATTCAAAAACACGGTCAAAGCTTTTTTTTTTTTCCTCATTACACACTGTGTGCTGCAGGAATTTTTTTATAATGCACACACTGACCACATAGACCCATTCTTTCATATGTAGGCCTACCAGCTTTCTCTCGCTAGATTTGAAGGCTCTAGAATTTAGGCGTACTAGTACGTCAATAACCCTGGTGCATAAGCCATACTAGTATGTTGAAAACCCTGAAAGGGTTAATAATGCAGTGATTTATCCTATTAAGAATTCAATGTATGGAGGTGGAAGGGAAGTGTCGGACATACACATCAAATTTTACTCCTCAGACCAAAAATCTGTATTGAAGATTACAAATTAATTTATAAATATTGACCATGGAGATGATTAATTAAAGATCTGGATTGCTTGCAATGTACTTTACTGAGATTTAAATGTGACAAAATGGATGAGGTAGGAATACGGAAGATTGCAAAATGTGTTTCTGTAGTAAAAGTACTGTACTGTATAGTACTACTGATAGTTGCCCTTGGGAAATATATTAGGAAACAGATTTATATAGGCAACCTTAGCAGAGAACCTTGATTCTTAGGTTAATACAGCAGGACTATTTGAGTGCAGCTGGAAATTTTGAGTGAATGCTTTGACTATAGTGACTTTACATGGTGGAGAGGGAATGATGGCTTATATTAGTGCTCAATACTAATTATACAGTGGACCCCCGCTTAACGATCACCTCCAAATGCGACCAATTATGTAAGTGTATTTATGTAAGTGCGTTTGTATGTGTATGTTTGGGGGTCTGAAATGGACTAATCTACTTCACAATATTCCTTATGGGAAAAAATTCGGTCAGTACTGGCACCTGAACATACTACTGGAATGAAAAAAGTTCGTTAACCGGGGGTCCACTGTAATTTGTAGATTTAGGCCTCGTACATTTTTCTTATTTTCTACTCGACTTGTGATGTACTCGATTCAGCCCAGCCATTCTTAACATTCAGCCAACAATAAGCATTTTTACTTGCACCAAGAAATAGGAATTTAATTAAAAGGGCTTCGAGTAAAAAATGCAAAAGAGGATATTAAATATAGAAGGAGATAGATGCCTCGGTGGGAGACAGCCAACTTGTTATAAAAAAAAAAATAGATGCAAACTTCAAGAACTGCACTAAGAGTTTTAAGAGGTGTTTAGTAAAGTTGAAAAACAATGCTCACTAACATGTAGTGCTTCTAGGTATTACCTGGAGTTTAACTTTTTATATTAAAAGTTAATGTTCATTTGTATGGTTTTAAGATTTCCATGACAGTATTCCCTTGTAAGAACATATAATATTTGCATTGTGCTATATGATGTAGCACAATAATGCTGATTGTTCTTTTCAAATAGTAGTTTTCAGTAATTTATTTTCATATAATTGACATTATCAAGAAGATATTTGTTGGATGAAATGAGATCAGTCATGGATTAATTAAATACATTTCTAAACAGTAAAAAAGATGTTGACACTGTCCCACACTGAAACTTTGTTTTATAGCACATCAGCTGTTTCCCACTGAGGCAGGGTGACCCAAAACAGAAGAAACACTTTCATAAAGTTTTTTTTTTATGTTTAGTAATTTAAACCTACTTTTACTGGGAAGTAGTCTCCCTCTCTTCTACACACCCTAACCTGAGCCTCACTATCCTCATAAAAACTCTTTACAGCATTTAGTAACTTACCACCTAGGTGGTAAGTTACTAAATGCATTTTAGTTGCCTCTTACGATGCTCATGGCTTACGGAGGAAGAATTCTTCTCCACTTCTCCATGGAGACAGTGAAACATTACCAAAACTAAAATGCAAGCTGAAGTAATTAAGGGTACATATTAGCATGTATAGGCAAATAGTGTACTTAAATACTGAATAAAATATAGAATTACAAGAAGGAATGAAGTTTCAGGGTGACAAAATATAACTAGCAAATATCCTTCATGAAAATTAATGACCAGATAATAGGAATAAACTTGCATTTATTCTTTTTGTGGATTATTCCCAAATAATGAGAACAGAAGACTGCAGGAAGACCTGGACAGAACCTGGGAGACAGGGAAAGGAGAAAAACAGAGTATCATCTCATTGGTTATTATCTCACTCTTAGTTAAGAAAAAAAAAATCCCAAAGTACCAAAGGGCCTGGTACTTGTTTTGAGGAGAATGAGCTATGAAGGAAACTGAAAGAGCTATCTGTGTATTATATCAGAAGGTGATATGATCACATCCAAATTTTATGTATATATAAATTTTTTTTTTTTTTTTTTTTCAACAAGTCGGCCGTCTCCCACCGAGGCAGGGTGACCCAAAAAAGAAAGAAAATCCCCAAAAAGAAAATACTTTCATCATCATTCAACACTTTCACCACACTCGCACATTAACACTGTTTTTGCAGAGGTGCTCAGAATACAACAGTCTAGAAGCATACACATATAAAGATACACAACATATCCCTCCAAACTGCCAATATCCCAAACCCCTCCTTTAAAGTGCAGGCATTGTACTATCCCATTTCCAGGACTCAAGTCCGACTATATGAAAATAACCGGTTTCCCTGAATCCCTTCACTAAATATTACCCTGCTCACACTCCAACAGATCGTCAGGTCCCAAGTACCATTCGTCTCCATTCACTCCTATCTAACACGCTCACGCACGCTTGCTGGAAGTCCAAGCCCCTTACCCACAAAACCTCCTTTACCCCCTCTCTCCAACCCTTTCGAGGACGACCCCTACCCCGCCTTCCTTCCCCTATAGATTTATATGCTTTCCATGTCATTCTAACTTTGATCCATTCTCTCTAAATGACCAAACCACCTCAACAACCCCTCTTCTGCCCTCTGACTAATACTTTTATTAACTCCACACCTTCTCCTAATTTCCACACTCCGAATTTTCTGCATAATATTTACACCACACATTGCCCTTAAACAGGACATCTCCACTGCCTCCAACCGTCTCCTCGCTGCTGCATTTACCACCCAAGCTTCACACCCATATAAGAGTGTTGGTACTACTATACTTTCATACATTCCCTTCTTTGCCTCCATAGATAACGTTTTTTGACTCCACATATACCTCAACGCACCACTCACCTTTTTTCCCTCATCAATTCTATGATTAACCTCATCCTTCATAAATCCATCCGCCGACACGTCAACTCCCAAGTATCTGAAAACATTCACTTCTTCCATACTCCTCCTCCCCAATTTGATATCCAATTTTTCTTTATCTAAATCATTTGACACCCTCATCACCTACTCTTTTCTATGTTCACTTTCAACTTTCTACCTTTACACACATTCCCAAACTCATCCACTAACCTTTGCAATTTTTCTTTAGAATCTCCCATAAGCACAGTATCATCACAAAAAGTAACTGTGTCAATTCCCATTTTGAATTTGATTCCCCATAATTTATCCCACCCCTCTCCCAAACACCCTAGCATTTACTTCCTTAACAACCCCATCTATAAATATATTAAACAACCATGGTGACATTACACATCCCTGTCTAAGACCTACTTTTACTGGGAAATAGTCTCCCTCTCTTCTACACACCCTAACCTGAGCCTCACTATCTTCATAAAAACTCTTTACAGCATTTAATAACTTACCACCTATTCCATATACTTGCAACATCTGCCACATTGCTCCTCTATCCACTCTATCATATGCCTTTTCTAAATCCATAAATGCAATAAAAACTTCCCTACCTTTATCTAAATACTGTTCACATATATGCTTCAATGTAAACACTTGATCTACACATCCCCTACCCACTCTGAAACCTCCTTGCTCATCCGCAATCCTACATTCTGTCTTACCTCTAATTCTTTCAATTATAACCCTACCGTACACTTTCCTGGTATACTCAGTAAGCTTATCCTCTATAATTTTTACAGTCTCTTTTGTCCCCTTTCCCTTTATATAAAGGGACTATACATGCTTCTCCGCCAATCCTAGTACCTTCCCACTCTTTCATACATTTATTGAACAAAAGTACCAACCACTCCAACACTATATCCCCCCCTGCTTTTAACATTTCTGTCATGATCCCATCAGTACCAGCTGCTTTACCCCTTTCATTTTACGTAATGCCTCACGTACCTCCCCCACACTTACATTCTGCTCTTCTTCACTCCTAAAAGATGGTATACCTCCCTGACCAGTGCATGAAATTACTGCCTCTGTTTCTTCCTTAACATTTAAAAGTTCCTCAAAATATTCTCGCCATCTACCTAATACCTCCATCTCCCCATCTACTAACTCCCCCTACTCTGTTTTTTAAACTGACAAATCCATATTTTCCCTTGGCTTTCTAACTTGTTTAACTCACTCCAAAATTTTTTCTTATTTTCATTAAAATTTCTTGACAGTGCCTCTCCCACTCTATCATCTGCTCTCCTTTTGCACTCTCTCACCACTCTCTTTACCTTTCTTTTACTCTCCATATATTCTGCTCTTCTTATAACACTTTCTGCTTTGTAAAAAACCTCTCATAAGCTACCTTTTTCTCTTTTATCACACCCTTTACTTCATCATTCCACCAATCACTCCTCTTTCCTCCTGCACCCACCCTCCTATAACCACAAACTTCTGCCCCACATTCTAATACTGCATTTTTAAAACTATTCCAACCCTCTTCAACCCCCCCATTACTCATCTTTGCACTATCCCACCTTTCTGCCAATAGTCGCTTATATCTCGCCCGAACTTATAAAAATAAATATAAATACTTTATAAAAATTAGTAGCTAAATGAGCCACAGTTTTATCATTAAGCTTTTCAATTTAAGTATGACAAGCAAACTAACCCAGAAATGAGTGGAAGTGGACTTTAACTTGGGTTCAAAAGCAGATATAACAGGACTTTGGGCATTAGAATGGGATTAACAGCAGGCACTCAACCCTTCAAGCTCAAAAAGGTAATCACTGTACTTAGTTTATTGTATCAGTATTAGTGTACATTTTTAATGCAAGCATAGTCTTTTACACCTATTTATTTTTTTTATACTGCATGACACTGGTTTAAGTTAAAGCAGAATTTCATTTTTGACATTTAATTTTCATTGTGAATAAAATTCTGCTAAACTTTTCATTTATATAGTTTACTTAATTTTTTTCTTAGGGACAGTGATAGACATCAAAGCTACAAATCTTCCCGTTGGGGATCTCCAGTTGGAGATCGTTATGATGACCCATATAATTCAAGATCTCTTGATCGAGGTGATGTATTGCCAAGTTATTTTTTGATTGTATTGCCTCCTATTATTTGGAGTTCCTGTTCACTTTGGCTTCATAAACTAAACTATATTCTGTTTTAAGTGTTTTTGTAATATTTGAATAAGTATTGCATTGAAAATAAATTTCTCTGGAAAGTAGTGCTATGAAGTTAGTGGACCTCTCAAGAGGTAAACGTTTACACATAGCCAAATAAGAGTAATCTGGTTTACATCAGAACAAAAAAAAAAAATGTTAGAAAATGAGAAACTGTTCTCTTAATTACATCATTACTGTCCAGTACCACAGATACCTGCTTACATCCTAATGAGCAAGGTTGCAAAAATAACAGGCACAGAACTAGAGATGTATCGGATATCCGCTTCCTCGGAACATCCGCACAATTTCTTACATCCACATCCGCATTTATATAGCTGGGCTTGAGTACTGGGAAGTACAATGCCTGCACTTTAAAGGAGGGGTTTGGGATGTTGGCAGTTTGGAGGGATATGTTATGTATCTTTATACGTATATGCTTCTAAACTGTTGTGTTCTGGACACCTCTGCAAAAACAGTGATTATGTATGAGTGAGGTGAAAGTGTTGAATGATGAAAGTATTTTCTTTTTGGGGATTTTCTTTCTTTTTGGGTCACCCTGCCTCAGTGGGAGACGGCCAACTTGTTAAAAAAAAAAAATCTACATTTTACTGTAAACAGATATCCGCATCCGCAAAATAAGTAAGACATCCTCATACACATCCGCATCCGGGGATATCTAAATTTTCACATCCGATACATCTCTACACAGAACATAAGTGACTTCACATAATAGTACACATTAACAAGTCTCCAGTAATAATGCAAAGAATTGACAAGTGCACATATTAATTACTACATAGAAAAGGATATCAAATTATCATCCCTATGCCCATCAGTAGTCTTTAGTAAACAAAACTGTCTACCCCAAAACACACACTTGAAAAATGGCAATAGTAATAAATAATTTAGTTGGTGAGAATGTGACTGTCAAGAAAACACTGGACTTGTCACTGATAGCTCTCAGAAGGTGGGCCTCCAAGGCCTTCGACTACACTTTTATTCCCAGGAACTCTGGAGTCACCCCTCCATTGGTGATATATATAAAAAAAAAATGTCAATCATTGAGAAACAAAAAAACACCCAAAAACCCGGGATCACTGTTCATGACCCAGAAAAATGGCGAGGCATCATCACCAGCATCCTTAAAACATTTGGTCCAGCAACCCATAGGACACAAACATAAAACACTGTTAACTGTTTGGTCTTGTAAATGGTTTTAGCTGTCTCCACATGCCTTATAACTTCTTTATTTTAATAAATTTATACAATTTCAGGAGAATATAGCAGAAGAGAGGTCTCCCGCAGCCCTCTTTATTATAGACGGTTAGTGGGAATTTTCCAAAGTTTTAAGTATTGCATATGATCAAATTTAGCATGCACTTTAGTCTACCTGTGTTCTTGTTGTGAACAGTTGTGTTATATAAAGGAAGGGAGTCTCATGTTTTTAATGCATCAACGATTTCCCATCAAAGCAGGATAACAACAAAAAAATATCTTCACTCCTGCAGGATAAGATCAGCAAAGGCTAAGCTTGTAAGCATAAGAGTGACATGCAGGAATAGACAGAAGTATGTAAATGCAACTTTTGTACCGGAACATACTTTTTAATATGAAGTGTTCTTGTATGTAACCCTCACCTAGTACAGAATAGAGTAAAGCTTGAGGGGGTTGTAACTGATTAACACTAGTGACTGAGCTACAAAGAATGTGAAAACTTATGTCAATGAAGGAGTGAAGAACAAGTGATATGACATGGATCATTCTAAAAGACCTATTTTACCTACTAAATTGCTGAGCAAAACACCCAAGCTTCCCAGGCATTGGTGGTATTATCGATGTTTAGTCAATATATTGTCAGTGTGTAGCCTTTATCAATGAGATTTTTTAAAACTGTTCACAAGTAGTAACATAGGCATACATACAGAATGAAACTTGATTTTGTATGCTATGATAATGAAATGTGCTTAATGGTGCTTCACTAATACATTTACATGTCTCCTGATTCACTATTACAGTGCTCACGTGCCACTGTTTGTTTACATTCTCTGTGAGCTCTGCATCTCTTGATTATGTTTGGAAACTTTCTAAAGTTTAAAGTGTTTTAAAGTTATTGTGTATTTTATATATAATCTTTTTGTGTTACAGTGAAATCTAAGGGTAATTGTGATAGCAAGAGTTGTAAGACTCTTACTTTAAGTACAAAGTTAGAGATGATTAAACTCGGTGAGCAAGGTGTCTATGGCTGACACTTGTACTTATGTGTACCTGTACCTAAGTAAACTTACTGTGCTGGCATGCAGGTACATTAAATCATTATTCGAAGATGCAATAACATAATAATTCTAGGGCACTTTAAATGTTGTGTATTACATTATGATTGACATTTTCATAAATCCATCTATGATGATGATGATAATTTCTACAAATAAAACTGGGTGTTGCCATAAGCTCTATGCCTCTTGGTTCCATCTGTAAACTTTAAAGTTTTGTTTTGAAGCTATTATGTCATAAGGCTCTTACTTTAAATGAACTTTAAGGAGAAAGTGTTGCAGGAAATTAAATGCTACACCAGTGAACACCAAAGTTTAAAGAAAACACGATAACCTTATTGCTGACATGGAAAAACTTTTACTGGTGTGGACTGAAGATCAAACTAGTCACAATATGCCTTGAAGCCAAGCCATTATCTAGGCCAATGCACTTATATGCATTTAAAAGTGAAAGAAAGGGTGATTTCACTTCATGGCAGTAGCCTAGAACTTAAGCTGCCATAAAAGCAGGGCCCTACTGTACAGTCTCTCCTTGCTTAGCGACGTACTTGTTTACCGACAACTCAGACTTACAACAGGCTCTCTGAACCAGTATGCATACCTAATGTACATTAGAGCTCATATCCATTTAAAAATATACTAAAAATGTTATAAAGGGTGCAAAGGTGACATTAAAACAATATCAAAGATGGTTGACACAAACCCACTACCATTATAGTATGCTCCTTGCTTAGTGACAAGTTCATTTACCAACGTGGTCTTAGGAACGGAACTCCGTCGTTAAGTGAGGAGAGACTGTACTGTATTCTCACCTAAATGGGTAAATGTTGACAGTTTCTTCCAAAAAATCTTCATGGTTTAATTATTAGTGTTATAAAGATGCTCTTTATTATGTTGGCTAACAAGTAGTTTCTTAGAGGTGGAGAAGACTCGTACCATCCCACTTGCCTTGGCCGCCGCACTTCTCCAGTACCAGGTGTCGGGCCCACCTCAAGGGAAAGCCTCTCAAAAGGGCCCACTGGATCACTCCTCAAAAGGATGGTATGTTGGTCATTTCTCAGACTATTATATAAAATATGTATGTACCGTACTTGTTGAACTTCTTTACTTTTTTTTTAGTTTGAGAAATGCAGTTTGGTAATTTTTTAATACTGTATTGTCTTAGACATTTCTAATGCCCTTCAAGCTGTAAATTGCATATTTTTTCCTTTATTCATTTCATTTCTTGTGCAGGATCATTTTCTCATGGAATTACAATACTTGCTGGAAAATTTTTAAAGAAAGTTCTAATCTGTTGGGAATGAGTGCCAAGTAAATTTTTTGGTATATTGTCCATAATGTATATATTAGATATCTCCTTCATAATTTTATCAATGAGCCAGCCATATTCCACTGAGATAGGGTGACCTTTCAAAAAAAAAAAAAAAAAGTCTCTTAATTTAGTAATTTATACAGAAATGGATACTAGCCTCTTGCTCCTGGCATATTAGTTGCCTCTTATGACATAATATCCATAATTATTTTGTCAATATTTTCTTTTATTTCTGCCATTTTGTAGCATCTTATTCTTCACGTGCCCATTTTGTCGCACAAATTTCACTGCTATCACCTAGTATATTTCTTTGTCAAGTTCAAGTTTTTATTTTTTTTTCATATAAATTTGTGAATTAAATTGCTTGTTTAGCACTTTAATTTAGTATTTGCTGTAGCACTAGTAAAAATACAGTGGACCCCCGCATAACGATTTTAATCCGTGCAAGAGGGGTAATTGTTATGCGAAATAATCGGTATGTGAATGAATTTTCCCCATAAGAAATAATGGAAATAAAATTAATCCGTGCAAGACACCCAAAAGTATGAAAAAAAAAATTTTTTACCACATGAAATGTTAATTTTAATACACACAAACTGAAAAAGGCATGCACACTTACATGACACTTACTTTTATTGAAGATCTGGTGATGATTGATGGGACGGGAGGAGGGGAGAGAGTGTTAGTGTTTAGAAGGGGAATCCCCTTCCATTAAGACTTAGAGGTGTCAAGTCCTTTTCTGGGGTTACTTCCCTTCTTCTTTTAATGCCACTAGGACCAGCTTCAGAGTCACTGGACTTCTTTCGCACAACATATCTGTCCTTAGTGGCCTGTACCTCTCGTTCCTTTATGACTTCCCTAAAGTGTTTCACAACATTGTCAGTGTACAGGTTGCCAACACGGCTTGCAATAGCTGTGTGAGGGTGATTTTCATCCATGAAGGTTTGCACTTCAAGCCACTTTGCACAGATTTCTTTAATCTTTGTAGTAGGCAACTTCTTCAATTTCTCTCTCCCCTCCTCTGAACCAGTTTCCTCAGGTCTGGCCTCTTGCTCTTGAAGTTGATCTATCAGGTCATCAGTGGTTAGTTCTTCATTGTCCTCCTCCACCAACTCTTCCACATCCTCCCCACTAACCTCCAACCCCAAGGACTTTCCCAATGCCACAATGGATTCCTCAAGTGGCATAATCCTCTCAGGTTAGCCTCAAACCCTTCAAAATCCCTTTTGTCTACACATTCTGGCCACAGTTTCTTCCAAGCAGAGTTCAAGGTCTTCTTAGTCACTCCCTCCCAAGCCTTACCTATAAGGTTTACACAATTGAGGATATTAAAGTGCTCTCTCCAAAACTCTCTTAGAGTCAGTTGAGTTTCTGAGGTCACTACAAAGCACCTTTCAAACAGAGCTTTTGTGTACAGTTTTTTGAAGTTTGCAATAACCTGCTGGTCCATGGGCTGCGGGAGAGGAGTGGTATTAGGAGGCAAAAACTTCACCTTAATGAAGCTCATGTCCCCATAAAGTCGCTCTGCCACGTCTGTAGGATGACCAGGGCATTGTCTAACACCAGGAGGGACTTAAGTTCTAATTTCTTTTCAGTTAGGTAATCTTTCACATTGGGGGCAAATGCATGGTGTAACCAGTTATAGAAAAAGTCCTAGTGACCCATGCCTTACTGTTTGCCCTCCACAGCACACACAAATTATCCTTGAGGACATTCTTTTGCCTGAACGCTCTGGGAGTTTCAGAGTGATACACTAATAAAGGCTTAACTTTGCAATCACCACTAGCATTGGCACACATCAACAAAGTAAGCCTGTCTTTCATAGGCTTATGTCCTGGGAGTGCCTTTTCCTCCTGAGTAATGTAGGTCCTGCTTGGCATTTTCTTCCAGAACAGGCCTGTTTCATCACAATTAAACACTTGTTCAGGTTTTCAGTCCTTCACTGTCTATGTACTCCTTGAATTCCTGCACATATTTTTCAGCCGCTTTGTGGTCCGAACTGGCAGCCTCACCATGCCTTATCACACTATGGATGCCACTACGCTTCTTAAATCTCTCAAACCAACCTTTGCTGGCCTTAAATTCACTCACATCATCACTAGTTGCAGGCATTTTTTTAATTAAATCGTCATGCAACTTCCTAGCCTTTTCACATATGATCGCTTGAGAGACGCTATCTCCTGCTAGCTGTTTTTCATTTATCCACACCAATAAGAGTCTCTCAACATCTTCCATCACTTGCGATCTTTGTTTCGAAAACACAGTTAAACCTTTGGCAAGAACAGCTTCCTTGATTGTCTTTCTGGTGCCCACAATAGTAGCGATGGTTGATTGGGGTTTCTTGTACAACTTGACTAGGTCGGCGATACGCACTCCACTTTCATACTTATCAATGATCTCTTTCTTCATTTCTATTGGAATTCTCACCCTTATTGGTGTACGGTTGGCACTAGAAGCTTTCTTGGGGCCCATGGTCACTTATTTTCCAGAAACAGCACCGAAAACACTGTAATAATACGAAATATTCCGATTGTATGCTTGGATGTTACCGCGGAGGCTGGCTGGTAAACAATGGCACGGGCGGCACATGTGAGGCTGGCTGAGGGCGCACATTGGACGCGTCTCGGACGAAAATCGGTGAGCGGGTTTTTAATCGGTATGCGCGGCAAAATTTTTGCGATTAAAGCAAGCGGTATGCGGATTAATCGCTATGTGATGCCATCGTTATGCGGGGGTCCACTGTATTCTTGGCATTTGGATTTCTTTCACAATTTTTCAGATTTGCTGTTCTTTTTTATGTTTACATTTCCAGCTGTAGAGAGAATATCCCACTTGCACTTTTGAACTGGTACTCGCCTGTACAAAGTACTGCTCTTATCTTTGATGAACATTTTTGTATAGAAAACCCAATTTTTCCTCACTAAGCACTTTTTGCTTACTGGAGTTTTATGGCTTTCTTTTCAGTGCCTCATATGTACTCGCCTATATGGTTGCAGTGGTTAAATCTTAGCTCCCAGCCCTGCCTCTCATCTTGCCAGATTCACACACTCCTAGTCTCATTGACCTATTGTACCTACTCTTAAAACTGTGTATGAAGTCTGCTTCCACCACTTCTTCACTGAGGTCATTCCACTTTTCAACTGCTCTGTGACTCGTTTGTCTAGCTTCCAGCTGTTCCCCCTAGTATCTGCTTCCCCCCCTCTCAACCTATATTTTGTATGTTGTCTTCCTTGGCCCTTCTGTCCTCCAGCATCATTAAATTGAATTCCGTTAACCTTTTCTTGTAGCTCATACCCCATATCTCTGGAACTAAGTCTCATTGCATACTTCTGTGGCATGCTAATAATGGCCTATTACTGATCATTTTTTTTTTTTTTTTATCAGGCTGATTGTTCAGTGAAGAGTGATCCTGATGCTCTGCTTGCTATAGAGGTAATCTCTCTCCTTTTTAAATCTCTCAAGGAGTTCCATCAACGTAGAGGCTCTCAAAATGCTGTTCGTGTGAGTAAAAGATTGTTTTCCTTATTTTGGATTCTGTTTTACTTTGTTATAAATTTAAATAACTGTTTTGGCCCTTCTATGTACAGTAAACCTTCACATGTGAGCCTACATTGTGCAATTTTAAATTGGCTGAACACCACTGGAAAAATTCCTTTCATAGAACTAGGAAGCCCATGATATTACAATTAATAAAACTACAAAATAAGTGACAATTGAGTGGTAACTTCAAGCTTTTCAGTCTGCTCACTGGGCCACAAGTACTGCCTCAAAAACCTGCCAATAAATAATAAAAAAAAATGTGCTTTTTCTTAATTTTTTATTCTAAATCTATACAATGTATGCATGCTTAATTTATATAAAGCACCATGGATGTTGTGCAAATGATAAGAAAGAGATGATTGTGGATGTTATGAATGAGAAGAAGCTGGATGTCCTGGCTTTAAGTGAAACAAAGCTGAAGGGGGTGGGAGAGTTTCAATGGAGAGGAATAAATGGGATTAGGTCAGGGGTTTCAAATAGAGTTAGAGCTAAAGAAGGAGTAGCAATAATGTTGAAGGATAAGCTATGGCAGGAAAAGAGGGACTATAAATGTATTAATTCAAGGATTATGTGGAGTAAAATAAAGATTGGATGTGAAAAGTGGGTTATAATAAGCGTGTATGCACCTGGAGAAGAGAGAAGTGTAGAGGAGAGAGAGAGATTTTGGGAAATGTTGAGTGAATGCGTGGGAGTTTTGAATCAAGTGTGAGAGTAATGGTGGTTGGGGATTTCAATGCTAAAGTGGGTTAAAAATGTTATAGAGGGAGTAGTAGGTAAATTTGGGGGTGCCAGGGGTAAATGTAAATGGGGAGCCTTTAATTGAGCTATGTGTAGAAAGAGATTTGGTAATAAGTAATACATATTTTATGAAAAAGAGGATAAATAAATATACAAGGTATGATGTAGCATGTAATGAAAGTAGTTTATTAGATTATGTATTGGTGAATAAAAGGTTGATGGGTAGGCTCCAGGATGTACATGTTTATAGAGGGGCAACTGATATATCGGATCATTATTTAGTTGTAGCTACAGTTAGAGTAAGAGGTAGATGGGAAAAGAGGAAGGTGGCAACAACAAGTAAGAGGGAGGTGAAAGTGTTTAAACTAAGGGAGGAGGAAGTTCGGGTGAGATATAAGCGACTGTTGGCAGAAAGGTGGGCTAGTGCAAAGATGAGTAGTGGGGGGGTTGAAGAGGGTTGGAATAGTTTTAAAAATGCAGTATTAGAATGTGGGGCAGAAGTTGTGGTTATAGGAGGGTGGGACAGGAGGAAAGAGAGTGATTGGTGGAATGAGGAAGTAAAGGGTGTGATAAAAGAGAAAAATGTAGCTTATGAGAGGTTTTTACAAAGCAGAAGTGTTATAAGAAGAGCAAAGTAATATGGAGAGTAAAAGAAAGGTAAAGAGAGTGGTGAGAGAGTGCAAAAAGGAGAGCAGATGATAGAGTGGAGAGGCACTGTCAAGAAATTTTAATGAAAATAAGAAAAAATTTTGGAGTGAGTTAAACAAGTTAAGAAAGCCTAGGAAAATATGGATTTGTCAGTTAAAAACAGAGTAGGGGAGTTAGTAGATGGGAGATGGAGGTATTGGGTAGATGGCGAGAATATTTTGAGGAACTTTTAAATGTTAAGGAAGAAACAGAGGCAGTAATTTCATGCACTGGTCAGGGAGGTATACCATCTTTTAGGAGTGAAGAAAGAGCAGAATGTAAGTGTGGGGGAGGTACGTGAGGCATTACGTAAAATGAAAGGGGGTAAAGCAGCTGGAACTGATGGGATCATGACAGAAATGTTAAAAGCAGGGGGGGATATAGTGTTGGAGTGGTTGGTACTTTTGTTTAATAAATGTATGAAAGAGGGAAGGTACCTAGGGATTGGCAGAGAGCATGTATTGTCCCTTTATATAAAGGGAAAGGGGACAAAAGAGACTGTAAAAATTATAGAGGAATAAGCTTACTGAGTATACCAGGAAAAGTGTACGGTAGGGTTATAATTGAAAGAATTAGAGGTAAGACAGAATGTAGGATTGCGGATGAGCAAGGAGGTTTTAGAGTGGGTAGGGGATGTGTAAAATCAGGTGTTTACATTGAAGCATATATGTGAACAGTATTTAGATAAAGATAGGGAAGTTTTTATTGCATTTATGGATTTAGAAAAGGCATATGATAGAGTGGGTAGAGGAGCAAAGTGGCAGATGTTGCAAGTATATGGAATGGTGGTAATTATTAATTTCTGTAAAGAGTTTTTTATAGGATAGTGAGGCTCAGGTTAGGGTGTGTAGAAGAGAGGGAGACTACTTCCCGGTTTAAAAGTAGGTCTTAGACAGGGATGTGTAATGTCACCATGGTTGTTTAATATATTTATAGATGGGGTTGTAAAGGAAGTAAATGCTAGGGTGTTTGGGAGAGGGGTGGGATTAAATTATGGGGAATCAAATTCAAAATGGGAATTGACACAGTTACTTTTTGCTGATGATACTGTGCTTATGGGAGATTCTAAAGAAAAATTGCAAAGGTTAGTAGATGAGTTTGGGAATGTGTGTAAAGGTAGAAAGTTGAAAGTGAACATAGAAAAGAGTAAGGTGATGAGGGTGTCAAATGATTTAGATAAAGAAAAATTGGATATCAAATTGGGGAGGAGGAGTATGGAAGAAGTGAATGTTTTCAGATACTTGGGAGTTGACGTGTCGGCGGATGGATTTATGAAGGATGAGGTTAATCATAGAATTGATGAGGGAAAAAAGGTGAGTGGTGCGTTGAGGTATATGTGGAGTCAAAAAACGTTATCTATGGAGGCAAAGAAGGGAATGTATGAAAGTATAGTAGTACCAACACTCTTATATGGGTGTGAAGCTTGGGTGGTAAATGCAGCAGCGAGGAGACGGTTGGAGGCAGTGGAGATGTCCTGTTTAAGTGCAATGTGTGGTGTAAATATTATGCAGAAAATTCGGAGTGTGGAAATTAGGAGAAGGTGTGGAGTTAATAAAAGTATTAGTCAGAGGCAGAAGAGGGTTGTTGAGGTGGTTTGGTCATTTAGAGAGAATGGATCAAAGTAGAATGACATGGAAAGCATACAAATCTATAGGGGAAGGAAGGCGGGGTAGGGGTCGTCCTCGAAAGGGTTGGAGAGAGGGGGTAAAGGAGGTTTTGTGGGTAAGGGGCTTGGACTTCCAGCAAGCGTGCGTGAGCGTGTTAGATAGGAGTGAATGGAGACGAATGGTACTTGGGACCTGACGATCTGTTGGAGTGTGAGCAGGGTAATATTTAGTGAAGGGATTCAGGGAAACCGGTTATTTTCATATAGTCGGACTTGAGTCCTGGAAATGAGAAGTACAATGCCTGCACTTTAACCCTTTCAGGGTCCAAGGCCCAAATCTGGAGTCACGCACCAGTGTCCAAGAATTTAAAAAAAAAAAAATTTTTTATTTTTTCTTATGAAATCATAGAGAATCTTTTTGTGAAGGTAATAAAACAAAAAGTACGAAATTTGGTGGAAAATTGACGAAATTATGCTCTCGCGAATTTTGATGTGTCAGCGATATTTACGAATCGGCGATTTTGCCGACTTTGACTCCCATTTTAGGCCAATTACATTATTCCAAACAACCAAATTCTTAGCTATTTCACTAGTATTACTTCTATTCTATCGATTGAGCACAAGAAATCGCCAAGTCAACTGTTTCAACTACAAAATAAAGTGATCGGAAATTGTTAATTTGGCCAATTTAACACAAAGTTCAAAATATTCCCATTTCAAAATAGGGTCCAGAATGAACAATGTAGGCATTCCTTGCACTAAACTAACATTTCCTCTGTTCATTAGTTATGTTTTGAGGCTTTACAAATAAATTCCATTTTGATTTTTTATTCACATAATGAATTTTTATTCACACCAAAAAATAGAAGATTTACTGTTATGCAATACTGTAATAATTGTATAAATATCATCACCATATTTGTGAATGTATATTAGACCCACCAACTGATGTGTATTAGACGTGTGAGGTCGTTTGTTTACTCTTGAATATCGGCAAAAATTTAACATTTCTGCTACTTTGAGCTCAGTTTCAAGCCATTTCCAATGCTAAAACCAATCAAAATCATCTCTATTTCTGTAATATGTCTTCCATTCTATCAAATGAGACCAAGAAATCGCAAATACAACTATAAAAAACATACGAAAAAACACTGCAAAGTTGCTGTTTTAATTGAAAAATCATGATTTCATTTTTTTTCTCTCATTATACACAGTGTGCTGCAGGATCTGTTTATGTGGTGCACACATACCACATAGATGTATTCTCTCATATCTAGGCCCCAAATGTACCACTCACAGTTTTATCAGAGTGAGCTGAGCTCATGGCGTAGATCTACGTTTTGGACCCTGAACGAAAGCCGTAGATCTACGGGACGGACCCTGAAAGGGTTAAAGGAGGGGTTTGGGATATTGGCATTTGGGGATATGTTGTGTATCTTTATATGTGTATGCTTCTAGACTGTTGTATTCTGAGCACCATCTGCAAAAACAGTGATAATGTGCGAGTGTGGTGAAAGTGTTGAATGATGATGAAAGTATTTTCTTTTTGGGGAATTTCTTTCTTTTTGGTCACCTGCCTCGGTGGGAGAACGGCCGACTTGTTTGAAAAAAAATATATATATATATAATATTATATATATATAATATTATATCTTTCTTTCTTTCAACACACCGGCCGTATCCACCGAGGCGGGTGGCCCAAATGTAAAAGGAGAAACATTTCGTTTTTCCTTTTGGGCCACCCCGCCTCGGTGGGATACGGCCGGTGTGTTGAAAGAAAGAAAGATATATATAATATATATATATATATATATTGATGAGGGAAAAAAAGGTGAGTGGTGCGTTGAGGTATATGTGGAGTCAAGAAACGTTATCTATGGAGGCAAAGAAGGGAATGTATGAAAGTATAGTAGTACCAACACTCTTATATGGGTGTGAAGCTTGGGTGGTAAATGCAGCAGCGAGGAGACAGTTGGAGGCAGTGGAGATGTCCTGTTTAAGGCAAGTGTGGTGTAAATATTATGCAGAAAATTCGGAGTGTGGAAATTAGGAGAAGGTGTGGAGTTAATAAAAGTATTAGTCAGAGGGCAGAAGAGGGGTTTGTTGAGGTGGTTTGGTCATTTTAGAGAGAATGGATCAAAGTAGAATGACATGGAAAGTATATAAATCTATAGGGGAAGGAAGGCGGGGTAGGGGTCGTCCTCGAAAGGGTTGGAGAGAGGGGTAAAGGAGGTTTTTGTGGGCAAGGGGCTTGGACTTCCAGCAAGCGTGCGTGAGCGTCTTAGATAGGAGTGAATGGAGATGAATGGTACTTGGGACCTGACGATCTGTTTGGAGTGTGAGCAGGTAATATTTAGTGAAGGATTCAGGGAAACCGGTTATTTTCATATAGTCGGACTTGAGTCCTGGAAATGGGAAGTACAGTGCCTGCACTTTAAAGGAGGGGTTTGGGATATTGGCAGTTTGGAGGGATATGTTGTGTATCTTTATGCGTATATGCTTCTAAACTGTTGTATTCTGAGCACCTCTGCAAAAACAGTGATAATGTGTGAGTGTGGTGAAAGTGTTGAATGATGATGAAAGTATTTTCTTTTTGGGGATTTTCTTTCTTTTTTGGGTCACCCTGCCTCGGTGGGAGATGGCCGACTTGTTGAAAAAAAAACTGTATAAAAAAAATTGAGAATATTCAGTGCATAAATATCAAGAATACTCTAAAGTTCAGTAGAAGTCAGTATGATTTTATTGGGGTTATTAACCCTGAAGTTTAATTTTATAGTACTTTATGTACTTACAATAATTTTACTTGACTTTTGTGGTGGAGAGCCAAGGTGGTAACTGCTGTGATTGTTATGGGACATTGAAATAGCTTTTATTCTAAGTCAGAAGAGCAGTAGAGCTCTACTAGTAAACATAACATAATACCGAGAAGGCGTAGATTTTACATACCTGTGCCACTGAAATACCACTCGCCCTTCTTTATTAATTCATTTTTCCTTAACATTGAGAACCACGTTTTCTGTTGGCACCACCACTTGCTTTGGAAGTCATTGTTAATTATACTTCACTTAATATGTTAATAGTCATGCTAAATGCTCTAAATCCAGGGAAAATAACTTAATGGCAAGTGTATATGCGAGTGAGCACAAGCAATAGACTGGCGCAGGTGGCCTTGGTCCCATACTTCAGAAGACAACTTGACTATCCAAACAGACAAAATGCAGAATTATGGACTTTTGTCCATTTTATCCACTGATGTGAGCATTTGGCTAATTTTTTGTCTGACATCCATTAATGAGAGGTCTTACTGTAATGGAATACAATAAACATTTTTTGAGAAGTCAATTGCCATCATCAGGACTAATTTCCTGAACAAAAAACAATATGTAGTATACCATATATAACATACAATATACTGTATACAGTAGACTTATCATTTAGCACAGTAGTTACGTTCCTGAAAAACGCTGTGTCAGACAAACTGAAGAACTTGTGGGAAAAATAGGGTTACGTTCCTGGGAGCCCCCAAAAAGCCAAATAACTTTTTTTTAGACCTCCAGATCTTACAAAATAAAAGTAAATATGTAATTGTAGTGCATTGTCGTGTTATATTACTGCTTAAGACTACAACTGCAATAGAAATAATAGTATTTCTTACCTTAAATTGTGGGTATTGGTATTTGTGGATGATTGTGAAGAGAGAGGATATGGATGGTGTGGTTCCTACTGGGCTGAGATGGATGGTTGTTGGCATAAGTGGATGGTAGAGGTTCTGGTACTGAAGTCAATGGTTGTATTGGAGTGTGCATAAATTCTGTAATGGATCTCTGGGCTCTTTTACCCTGCAGTACATTATACAGCTGACGGTAAGGCATCATCAGCTGGTCTAGATTTAACAAATGGCAATGAAAATAAGAAAATACTTATGTAAATAAACACAGCGAGTTTCCAGAGTATCGTCATCCTACACGCATATGAACTGAACTGAAGGCTGGGAGGGTGGTGTGGGTGGCTTAGGGAGGCAGGGGATGGCAATAGCTCTTCCCTGTTGACACAGTGGTGTAACCCACTAACCCATAGACCATCCCGCCTGGCGGGTGACCGGGCGCTCAGAATTTTTTCCCCTCATGCAACTGTGTTAAACTAATTTTACGAATTGTTAAACAAAAATATGCCACAATTCTTTAATCATGCTATAACAAAAACGTGCAAGACAAAATCGTGCTAAATGACGGCCTATTGTATATCGTACTGTAATATGGTATGCTTTATATTGTCTGTTGTTATATCGCATTCCAGAAACGAATCCAGGTGGTGTTTGACTTTCCACATTACTTTAGAAAATGTCCTAAGAAACAGCATGTCTTTCGCATGTGCTATGGGTCTTATAATGGATATCCTGATCAGCCAGGCTGTTAGTGCTTGTCACATAATCTGGTGAAAGCACGATAGCCCAGCTAATATGGAACAGTTTGAAGAAATTGATCATTTATTGTGCCCTTTCAATTCCCCAGCCGCATTACTAAGATGGAGTTCTACCTGGCAGAAGAGGCATGTCAAACGACACGAATGGAAGCAGCGCCGAACTTGCCAGAGTTAACCCCTTGAGGGTAAAGACCCTGATCTGAATTAAGTACTTTTCCAAGATTAGCAGTCTTGGCGATATTTATGCACTGGTGATTTCACCCACTTTGAATCCTATTTTAGGCCAATTCCATTGTTCCAGCTGACCAAACTCTTAGGCACATATTTCACTAGTATGCCTTCCATTCTATCAATTGAGTACAAGAAACAACTCGTATAACTATTTCAACTACCCAATAAAATGATCAGAAATTGGTAACTTGGCCAGTTTCACGCAAAATTCAAGAATTGCCAATTTAAAAATAGGGTTCAGAATAAAGTGTTGACATTGCTGGCACTAAAACATTTCCAACCACTTGGACATGTATTGGAAGAGTGACGTGATTTGTGTCCTCTGGAATATCGACAAAAATCGAATATTTCAGTTTCTTTGAGCTTGATTTCAAGCTACTTTCAGTCCTGAAACCAATCAGAATTATCTCTATTTCTGTATCTTCCATTCTATCAAATGATACCAAGAAACTGAAAATAAAAACCATTAAAACCATCCGAAAATACATCGCAAATTCAAAATTTTAAATCATACATATAGTCATCCCCCCCCTCCCTGTCATGCACTGCTTGAGGCAAGATTTTTTTTTGTGGTGCACCCTCACTGCATAGACCCATTCTCTCATATCTAGGCCCAGATTTACAGCTCATAGCTTATGAGTGAGCTGACCTCATCACATAATTTTTTACCATGGACCCTGACCTTAAAATCAAAGTACTACGGCACTGACCACAAAAGGGTTATATTTACTGACATGATCATCAGTGCAAAACTTAATCCAAATAAATAACCTTCATCCTAGCAAATATACAAGGCATAAAAACAAAGATGGAAAAATAGTTCTGCACATAAATCGCCTGACTTAGGAAGCACGGAAACTCAAACTAATCAAATAATGAAATATGGATCCCAGATTATAATTTATATTGATACAATAGAGTAAAAAGTTGGTAGTGGTAGATTTATCTGAAAGACTTGCATATTTGCAATAACTTGTTAAAAATCAGTGAGTATGGTGGAAATGCTTGGAATAAATGTGGAGAATAAGAACCCAGTAATTATCCATGTATAAAAGCCACCATCATCAACAGCAGAGTAATTCACCGAACAAATAAAGAAAATAAGGCAACTCCTCAGGTTCCTACCAGAGAACTTGACTTCAAAAAATTTGTATTGAACCAACTGAAAACAGAGCCTACTACAAAGGAACTTCTGGAGACATTAGTAGCTTTGTAGGGACCAACCCAGGAAGGTATGACTGTCCTGTGTAAAACTGAAGCCTGCTTAATTTTTTTGAAGTTTGGCAGGATTGCTAATCATTACTTTTCACTAAGTCCTAAGATGACAGTAATCTTAAAAGCCTCCACTTACATTCATTATACACTTGCCTGTACTTTACCGTTTCTTAATAATGTAACATTTTCTTTTAATTTAGGAGTCCTGTTCTCAAACCAGGGGCACTGATACCCAGAACTATCCAGGGGCACTGATACCCAGAACTATTAACAGTTAGCCAGTGAGTGATGGTGAATTACGAAAACCACCGAGTGACAAAATAAATGAATGAATGAATGAATACTCTGCGGTATTTCATGTGTTATTGTTTGCTGTTGGAAATATTTGTCGTTGTTACTGACTTTTCAACAGGTGGTCTGTGAAGCAGAGATAAAGTTTAACATATTGAAGGAGTTGCAAAATGTAACACCACGGGGAGGGAGCAACTACTAAAATTTGTCCAATTTTCATCTGGAGAGCTACTAGTGTGTATGACAGGTGAGTAGCCCAGTTTTTATTTTTTTGTATTGTGGTATTATATACCTTTTTCTATGAATATATTCAATACAGTACTCCCCTACTTGGATTTCAGGGGTTGATTCTCAGATCCTGGCCTTACCTCTTAACCTTCCACTCTTCAGATTCACTCCCTCTTAGCCTCATGGGCCCTATTGTACCTGCTCTTAAAATTATGTTTGAAGACTGCCTCCACCAGTTCCACACCAAGATCATTCCATCTCCCAAACCACTCGAGACCGAAGAAATACTTTCTAACATCTCTGTGGCTCATCTGTGCCTTTAACTTCCAACGTTGCTCCCGAGTTCCTATTTCTTGGCTCTAAAGCGCCCTATCCCTGACTACCTTATCAATTTCCCCAAGTATTTTGCATGTTATCATATCCTCCCTGGTTCTTCTGTTAGCCTCTCCTCATAGCTCATGGCCAGCATGTTATGACAAATGAAGACTATATGTAAAGCTACATAAGTAAACATTTTTAATATGGTGATGTGAAAAAAAAATTAACTCTGATAAGAGTAGCTTGAGGTTACTAGTGCCATTATTATCTGAGTAGCAAATCAGTTTGCAAGTTCAGGTAGGTTTGGAATATTCCATAAAGGGAACCCCTTTGAGGGTTAATTAACCAACCAAGCAGAATTATACCATTGGTGATTTCTCGCAATTTGTCTTTACACTCGGAGAAAGTGGGAAAGTTTGTTAGTCATAAACTTTGGAGGGAAAAATGAATGGTGAAGGGACAAGTGATGCTTATGGAATCAGTGTTTAATAAGCTTACTTCAGTAATTTGAGGTCAAATCAGTTTTCTTAATAAAAAAAAAAATTAACACAGCTGTTTCTCACTGAAGCAGAGTGACCCGAAAAAGAAGAAACACTCTTATCATCAATCACTCCATCAGTCTCTTGCCAAAAGCATGCCTACATTACAGTTCAAACACTGCAATATATCTCAACCCCTCTTCAGAACACGAGCACTATACTTCTCGCCTCCAGGACTGAGGTCCAGTTAACCAGTTTCCCTGAATCCCTTCATACATGCTACTTTGCTCACACTCCAACAGCATGTCAAGTCATAAAAACCACATGCTTCCACTCTAACACGCTCGCCCATGCTTGCGAGAAGTCTAAGCCCCATGCACACAAATCTCCTTTACCCCCTTCCTCCAACCTTTCCTAAGATGACCCTTACCCTGCCTTCCTTCTTAGTGCTGTACTATATTCAAACGAAATATTTTGTAGTGCCCAACAGCAGGCTTAAATTTATCATTAGACATATTTAGATTGTGGTAATGTGAGATTGTTTTTAATGCTTTCCAAAATATTTGTCTAATTTTGACTGTTTTTACTCTTTGCAGATGAGTTGTGTATTTTCTTTTTTTCAACACGTCATCAAGAATAGTGTGCAGCAGCTCTCCTATGGAGGTTTAAATCAAGTTCATATTTGTAATCCCATCCCCTTGGCACATCTAGAATTCTTGAAAGTACAGTATTATAAATTTTTATTGCTTCCATTTTTTTCTGAAAAATGTTAATATTTAGTGAAACTCTTCCAGTCATTCTAATACTGTGTAATTCAACTATAATTTTATTGTATTTTCAAGAAAACACTGAAGTAATTTCCCATTATTAGTATCTTCCACCTGTATAAATATATTGAGGTGAAGCGACTATTGGCAGAAAGGTGGGCTAGTGCAAAGATGAGTAGTGGGGGGGTTGAAGAGGGTTGGAATAGTTTTAAAAATGCAGTATTAGAATGTGAGGCAGAAGTTTGTGGTTATAGGAGGGTGGGGGCAGGATGAAAGAGGAGTGATTGGTGGAATGATGTTCTTGCTCTTATTTAGCTTTTCATTGAGCTTGTGGTTTCATTTTGTAAAATACAAGCAGCCAATATCCATTTTGTATGCTACTCTATAAGTCTGGACTAACACATTGGCCATGAGCTGCAGAGTAGGGTGGCCCAAAGCAAGAAAGATTCACTTTCACTTATTCTCTGGCTGTCTTTCCAGAAGTGCTTTGATGTTGTTTAAAATAACTGAGCCACACCATCCCTGTTCATCCTGTATTTCCCACAGCTTTTTAAAAGGTCAAGGCAGACTGGATTACTTTATATTAAGAGTCACAGCAAGTAACTGCTGGAAAGAGTTGCAGTATTTAGAGTAATTGATTTGTACATTACCATGGTCCTCTAGGGCACAAGTCTTGGGCAACCAAAAAAAAATGAAGAGCTGTCTACTACCACCATCTACATGCTGTACAAAATACAAAACCAATTTTCTTTGAAAGAAATTAAATTTTTCAATAGGAAAGTAGTAGTAATTTACATCAGATTGCTAATGCCACTTGGCAAGTGTTCAACTTGCTGCTGCAACTATGGCACTTTAAGGTACCTTTATATGACTAGGGAACACATAAGTAACCCCTATGGAATTGTTTTATGTAGTTAATAGCAGGTATTGCTTTACCAGTTTCATAAGTGTTTTAGCATTAAGTAATGCATCTGTATATCTTTATATGTTTAAAATCCATTTGTGTGTACAAAAATGTTGTGCAAATATTTTGTAATACAATTTTTTTTTTTAACTGTGCAGCACTGTATTACCCTTGTGGGTTTAGCACATAGTTTTAGTTATACAGTGGTCCCTCGTTTATTGTCATTAATCCGTTCATGGAAGTGCGACGATTATCAAAATAGACTATTTTCGAATCAATTTTCCCCATAAGAAACAATGTAAATACAATTAATCCGTTCCTGACACCCAGAAGTATTAAAACATTTTTTTTACATGAAATATAGATGTAGTACATAAACAATACATGGGACATGATGAATGAAACATTAACCCCTTCAGGGTCCAAGGCCCAAATCTGAAGTGGTGCCCCAGTGTCCAAGAATTTTCAAAAAAAAAATTTGTTATTTTTTCTTATGAAATGGTAGAGAATCTTTTTGTGAAAGTAATAAAACAAAAAGTACAAAATTTGATGGAAAATTGACGAAATTATGCTCTCGCGGATTTTGATGTGTCAGCGATATTTACGAATTGGCGATTTTGCCGACTTTGACTCCCATTTAGGCCAATTACATTATTCCAGTCAACCAAATTCTTAGCTATTTCACTAGTATTACTTCTATTCTATCAATTGAGCACAAGAAATCGCCAAGTCAACTGTTTCAACTACAAATTAAAGTGATCGGAAATTGTTAATTTGGCCAATTTAACACAAAGTTCAAAATATTCCAATTTCAAAATAGGGTCCAGAATAAACAATGTAGGTATTCCTGGAACTAAACTAACATTTCCTCTGTTCATAGTTACGTTTTGAGCTTTACAATAAATTCCATTTTGATTTTTTATTCACATAATGAATTTTTATTTACACCAAAAAAATAGAAGATTTACTGTTATGCAATACTTTAATAATTATATAAATATCATCATCATATTTGTGAATGCATATTAGACCCACCAGCTGGCGTGTATTAGACGTGTGAGGTCGTTAGTTTACTCTTGAATATCGGCAAAAATTTAACATTTCTGCTACTTTGAGCTCAGTTTCAAGCCATTTCCAGTGCTAAAACCAACCAAAATCATCTCTATTTCTGTAATATGTCTTCCATTCTATCAAATGAGACCAAGAAATCGCAAATACACCTATAAAAAACAACGAAAAGCACTGCAAAGTCTCTGTTTTAATCGAAAAATCATGATTTCAGTTTTTTCCTCTCTTTAAACATGTGCTGCAGGATCTGTTTTATGGGTGCACACATACCACAAGATGTATTCTCTCTACTGGGCCCAAAGTACCACTCACAGTTTCAATGGCTGCCCCGAGAGATCTAGGGTTTTTTGGCCCCCAAACGAAAAGCCGTAACTACGGAGGGACCCAAAAGGGTTAACAGCCAAAACTTACCTTATTGGCAATTTTTCTTTGTATAAAAGACGGGGGAGGAGAGAGTTTGTTAGTTACTTTTTGGGGAAGGGGAATCACCTTCTCATCATTTCAGGTACCAAGCCTTTTCGGGGGTTACATACTTCTCTTCCGTTTTTAAATGCCACAGGACCAGTTTGATCACTGGGGGTTTAGCGCTTCTTTTTTATTAAAAAATTTGGAGTCACTGGAGTCCTGTTTTCGCAAGAAAAAAGGCCCAGGAGCTTTTTCTGGCGTCTTTTTAAAAACTTCCCCTAAATGGCGAAGACTGTCACGTCAAGTTGCCGATTGCTTGCAACATCCTTCTCAGGGTGTGTTACTCCTAAATCTTTCCATCCCCCCCACATTTAAAAAAACTTAATTTCTGAGAAGGCACCTTCCTCTTTTTCCTCCCCCTTCTTTACTCTCCCCCCCACCATTTCCTTATTATTATAATCAAAAAAAAGCGCAAACCAAAAGGACTATACAGGCTGCGGGGCAGGAGGAACGGGGGCATCAGGGGGCAAAAGGGAGTGGATGAGCAACGGTTTTAGGATAACAGGGGGGCAGGGGAGGGTGAAAGGTAAAGGGAGCAAGGACAAAACCAAAAAGGGCTGAGGGAGGCAAAAGTATCATCAAGTTTTGTGGAGAAAATCAGTCGTTGCAAAAATTAAATGGGGCAGGAAAAAAGGGAGGTCCTCAAAAGAAGGGAAGGTAAGGAAGTAGGAGAACAAGCGAGTGGAGGAAATTCTGCGTGCCTTTGATAGAGGGGCGTCTAACAGAAGTGGTAATCGTACTGGAATTTGCACGCTCACAGGAGGAACAGGGCCTCCCCATGATACCCATAGAAGAGTGGGGCCAAATGCAAAGGGCGGGGAGAGTTCCCCCAACCCTCGCATGATGAAAAGAAGACGGCCAGAAACCTATGCTGGGTTTTAATAGAAAAAAGTTTGTTACCGAGCAGAGTTGACCCGTTTGTTGCCAACGGGGCGAAGGTGGGTAGCTATTGCAGAAAAATAGTCCAGAAATGGAACACCCCGATGGGAAATTGGGGTCATAACTCTGACCGCGCAGCAGTGTCGCCTGTTCATTGCCCTGTACGTGCATGCCCAGGGCCCCCAACAAAAAACAATACTTTTATGTTTGGTGAGATACGGCGTACCAAATTTGGATACGGAGAACTGGGGGATGAGATGTAAAAAATTTTCGTAAGCCTGTAAGCACAAGGGAGTTGAGACTACTAAAATGATGACACAGGCATAGATCGATACGAATAAGTGCTGCAAGAATGGCATCTTTCAGCGTAAAAAGCTAGCTAAAAGATAGAAAATGCCCTCGTAGCGCGCCGGAAACCTGCTGCGAATCCGACCCGCTAAAAGCTTAGAGCCATCTGTGTACCAGCTGGAGAAAATAGAGTGGAAGTGATCAAGAAAAAAAGGCGGAAGCCACCGGCAGTTGAGCTTTCGAGCAGGGAGTGAGAAAGCCCCGCCCCGAACAGCGGGAATTTTCCCAGGGGGGTGGGGAAAAAAGTAGATGCTACTGAACAAAAAAAGGGGTAACGAAGGGAACCCCAGAAAAAGTGCGAAGAGAAAGGGGGGAGCAAAACGGGGGGCGGCGAACGAAAAAGAAGTTCTAAATACGGTGCCTTTTTAAAAATGGAAGGTTGTGTAGATCGTGAAGCGTAATAGTAAGAAGGCAAGGGCATAAAGGCGATCAACAAGGAGGGAAACTTTTTGTTCTGTATAGGGCTCTCAACAGGGAGAGCGAAAGCCCAAAGGCACAAAGTAAGCCTTTGGGTGATGGATGGGTTTGGGCAAGGAGAGTAGCGGGAGGGGCCGCGGAAAAAACGGGTCACCAAATCGATTTTGTAAAAGAGGGCTGAATGAGGCGAAGCAAGTTCGACGACAGCCCCCAGGAAAGAGACAAGGGTTTAAAAAGGGTTTAAGCCACTGTAAAATTTTGCCTCAGAGGGAAATTTGGGGGTTTCCGGTTAACCGACGGTAAAAGAAGGCCAAAAACCTACTGTATCACGTTGGGGGATAGGGACCTAGAGATAAAAAGGGGTTCGGAGAAAACAGAGCGTCATGAAGAAATTTGGGTGATTTTTGGGTACTTAAAAAATTTAAACCCCCATTGGTGGCCCAAGTGGAAACACGGTCGACCGCAGCTGGAGGAAACTGCAATAAGGTACAGTCAGGCCTGCAAAAAGCAATAGCAAGTCAAAACTGAGTGATGCCCCAAATTTTGGGGGGAGAACAGAGGCCCAAAATCATTTATAGAAAGGGGAAAAAAAGGGGTTGTGCTTAGAACACCCCCTAGGGACCCTTCAGCTTGGCAAGTCCGGGAAAGACATTTTTGGGACTCAACACGGAAAGTCTGTCAGTAAAAAGTTTTTAAAGGAAGGGGGTAATTGCCTCGGAGGCCTAAAAAGGGGGCCCGGGGCCAAAATATTATACCCCCAAGTTGTGTCATATCCCTTTCCAAAAGGAAAAAAAATAGGGCAATAATGAGGATTATTCGAAAGGCATTAAAAACATAGTACCCAAAGCTTTAGTAAGGGGTCAGGGAGAACGCCCCTTACGAAACCAATGACTAGCGGAGAATGTTGTGAGTCTCAAATACCAATTAAACGCGTTTTAGAGGCTTCCATCACTTTGCAAACTGCACTTGAAGAGCGGGGGGGCGATAGGGGAGGCATCTGTCCTGTAGTCCCCGGGTTTTGCGGAAAGGAGAACAATGGCAGATTTCCCCACAGCGGGGGAAGAACCCCTTGTGCCCAATAAGTTGAAGAGGTGTAAGGGGACACAAGGGCTGACCGATGAAAAGTTGTAAAAAACAATATGAATGATCGGGCCCAGCTGGGATGGAAAGCGGAGCGTTCCCTCCAGTTCTTGAAGTGTAAAAGGCCATTATACTTTTCTTCTCCGAGAGAAAAAAGCCAAAGGGGTACAAACCCCCGGGGGCCAGACTTTGAGGAAAAAAACGAGGGCATGATGGAGCCCGGGGGAAATACGGACCAGATGTGTGCCAAGTTAAAATGGAACGCGAGGGGTTTGCTAAAATAAACACCAGTGACCCGTAAAACGGGGCCGGGTCGGGAAGTTTTTACCCACTCAATTTCCTCCTTTTTTCCAGACTGCACTATAGAAGAAGAAAGGTGATGGTGGAAACATAGTCTCCCCAAACAAGTGCGTTTGCTTAGGGAGACTCGGCGACCCGATCCCCGTTCTGTTAAAATCAACAAGTCTTCAGGGGTTCTATTGTACCGGACCTCCCCCATGCAGCACTTTCAAACGTACTGCCAGCACAAGCAGGAGCCCCACCAAGGCACGCACTTCAGAAGCCTGCCGAGGTTGGGGTATAGAATGGAAGCTGGGGTTAAAAAAACTGATGTCGGAAAGATGTGTGGGAGTCATAAATGGAGGAGAAGAAAACCTCACAAAAAGATGGGGTGAGTAAAGATCCCAATTTGCCCGGGTCAAATTGCCACGAGGTACGGGAAGGTGGGGGAATAGGGAAAGGGGAAAAGAATGATCGGAAAATGATCGCTGTCATGTAAATTGGGAGAACAAACCAGGGGAAGCTATGCAGTGGAGGGAAGACAGAGATAATCGATGCAAAGGAGTATGATACGAGGACAAAAAAGGGTGGAGTACCCCCTAAATTTTAAAAAATGGAGGGGTGAGAGGCAAGAAAAGCCCCAACGAATGCCACGGAGTCCAAAAAACCCCCCCCCGAGGAATGGGGCATTAAAATCACAAGTAACAGAATTGGTGGAAAGGATAAAAAGAAAGGGAAAGTCGGGATAGAAAGCCGGAAGGAGGAGATATAAAGAACATATTTTAAACCACTTTTTCAAGTGGATACGGGGTGCGGTTAAAGCAGCGGGTAGACAAAAAAATTTTCAGTACGAATATCTTGCGTAGAAAAAGGGCACTTTCATTAAAAGGGCCCATTTAAAAGGATCCAAGAATACAAAAAATTATCCTGAGATAGGGTTTAAAAACACCGGTGAATTTTTTGGTTCTTGAAGCAAGCACCAAAAGGGAAAAACCGGAAAGAACTCTGAAGCTCACCCCCCCAAAACCCCGAGGGCGGATTTTCCACTGTAAAAAAGGCCATGATTGGCGATAAAAAATACAGGAATCTGTAGGAAAGGCACCTACGACAGAGGGGGGTTTAAAAATCAACGTGTGGTGGGATTGGGAAAATGTTCGTAGCGAAGGGAAGGGGCGTTGCGAAGAAGGGGTTTTGAAGATGGAGGAAGGGAAAGAAAGGAACGGAAAATGAATCATGCCCTTGAAGGTTTAGTCTCTGCAATTTTCGAAATGGGTTTAAGGTTTCTGAAATTTAAGTGTAGGGAAAAACCTATTTGGGGATAGGAGGAGGAGGGTAG